TAGCAATAGATGGCAACGATGAAGCAAATATCAGATTTCTTAATGCTCATAAATCGACTCAGTGGGTTACTGAACTTGCTCATTATGAACGATCTGTGCGTGCATATCTGGACAGCCAATTCTCGTGATAGGTGGAAAGGTCGCGGTGGACCTGTGAAAACTGGCCGGCGAGATCACCAGACCTAATGCCTCTAGACTTTTATTTGTAGGCCAATCTAAAAAGATTAGTGTACACAGAAGAGGACAAAGTGTGATTTATATCAGCGTATAATAGACGCATTTAATGTGATAAAAAGTGATAGACACGTTTCGAAGTTTAACAAACAATTTACAAAGATTTGCTAGTTTGTGTTTAGAAGTATGCTGCTCAGATTCTAACAATGATCAGATCAAAAAGATAACAATGCGATGTCCGGAATCAAAGTGTTCTCTAGACGATTCTTGTGAAGGTTCATGTAGCAGAATTAGAATACGTAAAAAAAATATCTATAGTGTTTCTTGCCTGTATGACATAATTGAAATGTTGGTTAAAACTACTTTTTCGGATTTTATCGCGTTTAATTTTAATTGATTTTTAATTCCCGACATTCGTAATCAATGTGTAGTGTTCGCTTAAATATAAGAAATCTTTATATATGAAATATCTAATTAACTCTTATTTAAATTAATATGTTGGCCTATGTTCAGCAGTGGACTTGTGAAGGGCTGTAAAGATGATGATGATGATGAAATTAATATAAACTAAATTTAAGAAATACATTGTTTTATTTTATAGTCTTCGTGAATAATTTACTAATCTACCAGGCGGTCCCATAATGAACTGGCCTGATATAGTTCAACGCGACATGTCGCTACATGTTGTGTTGGTTGCATTAAATAGTACGTTTATCGTGCACTTAATATAAGAAACATGCATCGACATGAAATGCTTAGTCTTAGTTTAACAGGCATTTGAATAACGAGAGTCGCGTATTTTTTCAAAATGTCGAAAACTGAGTATCGAAGTGTCATAAAGTTTCTGTTTAAAGAAGGTTTATCCCCTGCCCAAATAAAAGAACGATTGGATGGCGTGTATAAGGAGTCTGCCCCCTCCTATAGCACAGTGAAAAATTGGGTGAAAGAGTTTCGCCTCGGGAGAGAAACCGTCGAAGACTTTGGCCACGACGGTCGACCTGTGGAAGTGCTCACTCCCGAAACGATTGCTCTTATCGAAGAGGAGGTTCTGAGTGACCGCCGTTTGAAGATTAGAGAAATTGCAGCAAGGCTTGGGCTCTCTAAGAGTACCGTTCATCGCGCGATCCATGAACATCTTCACATGAAAAAAGTGAGTGCAAGATGGGTACCGAAACTTCTTTCAGCGGTACAGAGACCGGAAAGAGTGCGCTGCGCTTCGGAGTTTTTGGATCTTTGTGGCGAAAATCCAAAGACTGTGATCGAGCGACTAGTGACTGGTGATGAAACTATGATCTTGTATTATGATCCACAAAGCAAGCGCGAGTCAATGGAATGGCGTTATAAGGGTGAAAATCCCCCTAGAAAGGCAAAGGTGCAACAATCGACTAAAAAACTGATGTGCACAATATTTTGGGATTTTCAAGGCATTTTGATGGTGGATTTTAAAGAACGTAATACAGTCGTGAACGGCGAATATTATGCTTCTTTAATATATAAATTACGAGACAAGATAAAGGAAAAACGAAGAGGCAAGCTGTCTAAAGGTGTCCTGTTGCTCCATGACAATGCCCCTGTTCATACCGCTGGTGTTTCGAAGGAAGCAGTTCGTCAATGCGGGTTCACAGAAGTTCAACATCCACCTTACAGTCCAGACATGGCCCCGTCCGACTATTATTTATTTCCAAATTTAAAGCGGGACTTAAGAGGAAGAAAATTTTCAAGCGATGAAGAGTTGCAGGCGGCCGTCTTCAGTCATTTTGAGGATAAAAAATTTGATTATTTTTATAAAGGTTTAGAGACGTTGATTCACAGATGTCAGAAGTGTTAGTATTCATGGTGATTATATTGAAAAATAAAATTGGTTTCGTTTCATTTCCTTCATTGGTTCATACTTAGGCCAATTCATTATGGGACCGCCTACATATATTTGTTAATAATACAATTTTATCCAAGCGAAGCCAGTGCGGGTCACTGGTTATAAATTAATGTGTCTACTTGTGTATATAAATCTACGAGGGGTGATCCAAAAGTAATGATAATGAAAATAAAACACGGTAATTAAAGTTAAAATAATAATTATCAATACATTTAGTCCATCTTTTTTTCTAAATCCAGGATTCCCTTTGAAAAAAATTCTTTGTCTTGACCCTCCCAAAACGCTTCAACAGCGTCAATTACTTCGCTATCGTCTTCTAATTTCTTGCCTCGGAGGCGTTCCTTGAGCCGAGGAAAGAGGTAGAAGTCACTAGGAGCTAGATCTGGCGAATAGGGAGGGTGTTCGAGCAGTTCGAATCCCGTTTCTTGAATGGCAGCCATCGCAACTGCAGCTTTGTGAGCCGGTGCGTTGTCTTTGTGAAACAGCATTCCAGCTCGCAGTTTGCCGCGTCTTTTTTCCTTAATGGCCTCAAGTAATCTTCTTATTTGGTCTGCGTAGTAAGAGCCCGTAATAGTAGCTCCCTTTTCCAAATATTCCACCATAATTATGCCTTGAGCGTCCCAAAAAACAGATGCCATAACCTTTCCCGCCGAACTTGAAACTTTGAATTTCTTTGGCGTCTGTGAGGAGGCTCGCTTCTAAGTCATCGATTGTTGTTTCGTTTCAGGATCAATATGGTGGATCCAGGTCTCGTCCATAGTTACAAAACTGAACAAAAAATTTTCTTGATCTGCTTGGAACTTTTCGAGATTGACCCTCGAAATGTCAACTCGATTTTTCTTTTGCTCGTCGATTAACATTCTGGGTACCCAACGCGCCAAGACCTTTTTCATATGCAACTCGTTCGCAAGGATTCTTTGAACGCTACCATATGAGATCCCTGTGACCTCAGCTACATGCCTGATGGTCACTCTTCGATCTGCCAACACATCTTCGACTTTTTTCACGTGGATGGGCGTCTTTCGCGATGTTCATATTCAGTGGATGTTCTGCCCAGTTGAAACTCCTTGGCCCAGCGTGCAACTGTAGAATATGGAGGAGCAGAGTCCCCAATGTTTCCACTAAGTCACTGTGTATGTCTTTTGAAGACATTTTTTTCAAACAGAGGTATTTGATGATAGCTCTAATTTCGTTTTTCTCAATGTTGGTGTTATCTCTTTGACATTTCGTATTCAAATGAATGTATCTCCCGGAAATCGTGATCTAGTTATTTTTTTAGGATGACGTAGTGAGTATATAAGCAAAAAATATTTTTTTTGAATTTTTATGCGGACCTGAAGTAACCGATTATCATTACTTTTGGATCACCCCTCGTATTTAAATATTTTCCCATTAATGGAAAATTTGCATTTAACCCAAAAATATAACTAACGTTTTAATTAAAATAACAACAATATACCGTTATTAGAGGGTTTCGTTATTTGTATTGTGCATGTTGACGGTACAGGCTCGATGAGCCGCCATATATAATCCCATTCCTCATCCGTACGGGCTATACTTGCCATTTTCTGTTTTTTTGCTATTAACTCTATTTCTTTTATCGATCAAGTATTTTACTATTAACTAGTATCTGCTGATCTTGCATTATTAGGCAGTAACTAGTACTGCAAGGTCTACTTCACTGATTATTTTAAGGTCATTGACATTATACGCAAAAAAATCTAAAACTGCAAAGTTGTGGTCGGGTCGCTAGTCAAATAATAAATCTGTAACTATGGCGTCAGTAACTACATACCTAGTTACTTAGATCTACCTATAAATAGTAATATTTCCTTTCGGTATCATTATGAACAGTAAAGAATGAAAAGTGAACAATCCTATTATTTAAATACCCGTATGTATTTTCTTGACGTAAAAGCTAAAGAATTGTTTTTTTTTTTGTACACTACTACAACAATAAGACCAACGAGGCAATCAAAATCAAAAATAAATATCAAAAGTTCCTAAATACTTATAAGAGAAAAATACTTTTTTGTTAACGTAAAACGCATGTTGCAAGCTGATTCTAAAAATGTTGTCTGTTTTTTGTTTATAAGATAGGGTGACAAACGAGCACACAGTCCACCTGAAGTGGTTGCTGCGGCCCATAGACATCTACATCTATCCTCAATTGCAAATCAAAATGCAGATGCGTTGTCACCCGTAAGGACTAAGATGGAGTGCTTTGTTTCCAGTAGCTTAATGCTGCTGTGTTTTGTATGGTGTGTGTAGAGAACCGGAGACCCTTTTTACGCTGGTATTCTGTGAGAGCGTGGCCCTTCCCCGGTCGAGCCGACCCATTCGTGCTACAACTATACTATTAATAAAACTGCAGCATGGCTCTACCACGTATAAAAACCTGGAGCCTACATAATGAAACAAATGTGCACGCGTCTCACTCGCGTACGCCGCGCCGTTTAAAAGAATATCGGCTATTTGTAGTTTTAGGCAAATGTCATGGGATGAATTGTTTTTATGTATTTTTTTTTTTTTGGATGTTCCGAATTTTGCCTATCAGTTATATTTTGTTATTATTTACAAATACTTTTGAGGATAGCTTCTATTCCACTTACATACATTATATTATTTTTCAGACTAAAAATAGACATCCAGTATAGAGCACTGAAAGATCTGCTACTTTGTATGTACTCAAGCCTTAGCAGTTTGATAGATACCAAGTGAACATCACTAATAAGCCATTTCACTCCCCTCCATGGAGTTTGTATGTAGCCAGTAGCTACACCAACACATATATGGGCAGCAATATTCCAAAACCAACTAATATTTTTAATGATACTATATTTTTGAAGAAAATACTTTTGAATAGTTAAACACATTTTTTAAACAGTGGAACTCGACTAATTGTTACTTTTGTCTAATAAGTTGTAATTCATTTTGTTGTTATTTACAGTGAACAAAATACATGGGAGCCAGTTGATAATATGGAGACGTGTAAACATCTCCTTGCAGCATTTGAAAAGCAACTTGCCCGACAGAAAGAACTTAAAGCTTTAAGAGCTCAGCAACAACAGCAACAGCAACAACAGCAGCATCCGGTGCAGGTATGGTTTGCCAATGTTGTGCACATTGTGATACAAGAAAAATCTCTGGCATGTCTGATTTGTGACAATTAAGGGAGGTGTTCTTCAAACTACGTAAGACACGACATTTAATTTTTTTACACAGAACTTGGCTACTTTATTTACAAAAGTAACGCCTCATTCTATTAATTATCTCTTAGCGGTCAGCTACTGCAGAGTCTACTCCACCTAAAGATGTTTTAGGGGTGAAACACATGTAGTATTATTCATAATGGTATGTCTGTCCTAGTGTAGTGGTGCTGGGATTAGTAGTGACGGGGATATTGCACGCAATTGAGGGAGGGCAGGAGAGGTGCTCTTTGAACTAGGTAAGACACATCACTTAATTTTTTTAGATGGATCTTAGCCAATTAATTTACAACATTATTAATCTGATTTATGACTATTTAAACTGGGAAAATGTATGTACTTAAAGAATACAGAGTGAGTGTAGAGAACTGGATACCCTTCTAACTGGAAAAGAGGCATTCCATCTTAGTCCTCAATGGTGACAAAAAGACAAAAAAATTATTCGTAGTCCAGGATAGATGTAGATGTCTATGGGCTACAGCAATCACTTACCTTCAGGTAGACTGTGCGCTTGTTTATCCTATTAATATCATTTTTTTGACTGCCTCGTCTGTAAACTGTGGCTTTACGAATAAATAATTTTAAGTGAGATTCTGATAACCATTAAGTAGTGGTTGAGCCATCAAGAGAAAAGGGTTGATGCCACACCAAGCAAAGTATTCAGCCCTTGGAGCAGTCAATACTGAGTTTGATGTCTGGTAATACAGAGCTATTTTTGAATAATCTGTATTTGCTATTGGAGAAAGTGGAGAAGTGACTGAGCTGTCACAATGGGATACATTTAAAGTTGCCAAACCCAAATCCAATATTATATTATCAGTGTAAGGGTATTGGTGCTACATTTTCCAACAAGCATGCCCAGTTTGGAGTATATGGAAAATATTTCATGTTAAACCTACCAGATAATGCATTCTTAAAAAGGCCTGTGGCTAGTGGCAAATTATGAAAAGCAGATTAAAAAAATAACTTTTGTTAATTAGAATACGCAATATTCTAAACACTAACTTCCTTTTATGGGCTAAGAATTTATCGCTCATCAGTAATTGTCACCAGTTGGGACTGAGGTGAAGATAGACAGTGTCACTGCAAGTGAAAAATTGTATTTCAAATAAAAGTTTTTCAGTTTCTAGTGTATATATCTATGTATATACACAAAACAAAGCTTCAGTGTTCACTCTTTAAACCTTTGCACATTTTAACCTCTTTTTTTAATTATTTTACTTTCAGGAATATCTGTAGTCTACATTTTTATATAATTGATATTTTAGAAATAAATATTAGACTTTATATTTTCTTAACAGTTTAACTTTCTCTCTATGAAACTAGTCAAATGTTTCACCTCATTGCTAAGTGGCGCCGCCCGGTTGACTGAAAAGTTGTGGATTATTTATTTATTCGTTATTTTTCAGGTGAAACAAGTTAGCACACCCATGCCACAAATAGTTAAACAAGTTGTTAAGAAACCAGAAAGCCCTAATATTTCTTCTTCTGGGTAAGAACAATTTTCTCTGTAAATATTAACAAATACTACTATATATATATATATATATATATATATATATATATATATATATAAATTTGGTAATCCAATCCAATATATAATCCACTCTTGGGCAAAAATTCCTTCTCGGTCTTTATATTGCAATTTCACCTCTGCCTCCTAACTTATCACATAACAGTCATATTAGATCTTTGTGTTTTGATATACATTTTTAGCACTATAATATTACGTTCTGCAAAGATAGCTTCTGATAAATTGAAAGTTGTCGTTGTGGTCAAAAAAGGACCAGGACGTCAGTCAACAATAATAGGAATAAACCTCTTAAAAATTTTACAAAGCCTTAACTTTTTAACAGTCGCCTGCAAAGAACAAGTAAAGTTAAAGCATTGGACCAAGTAAAGGCGTGGTGTGGCGCTGAAGATGAGCCCGCGGCGAAGAAAATAAAAAAAGAGCTTTCTAGTGATGAAGATGACTTCACTGACACAGAGTCACCTACAAGAGGTATAAATATGTTTTTATTTATCATCTTTACAGTCCTACATAAGTACATTGTTGTATGCATGCCTCCCCCAAGGAATGCCACAAAACACGGTTCTGAGCCACCATCCACTTCCTGTATGTAGTTTAGTTTACGACTGGCTGATTCCGCAACTCCACGTCTGAGCGCGTATTTTGCGTGTGGGCAGGAATAATGTGGTTATTCGAGCCATGATATTTCCTCGAAGAAGTTAAACAGTCCTTTGATGTTGCAAGCAACTTCGGGGAGCGATCTTGGCGTGCCGAGATGTTTAGCCCTGTATGAAGCGACTTCTGGACATGTCGGCAACACGTGAGCCGCCGTTTCTTCCTCTCCCATGCATGCCCTGCACAGGGGGCTGTCAGTAACACCTATGGTGAACAAATGTTTGTTAAAAGAGCCATGTCCTGTGATAGCACTTGTTACTATCCTGATCTGTGGCTTATTCAGTCTCATTAGAACCTTGGTTAGACAATCCTGCATGTATTAGAATGTCGTGACTCCATTCAGTGGGGAAGCCATCCTTCACTTTGCTTACCTAAATAAGGCTGTCATTCGAGAACTTTTTCCCCATTAGTTGTCGATTATTCAAGCTATATGGCTGGTCTATTGTCACTCTAGCTTACTGTTCCGATAGGCTATGTTGGTTACTCTGATTCTACTGCAGATATTTTTTTTCGAAGCTTATTACATAGAGAAACTTCGCGCATAACCCTCTATAGCTCACTGAGCAATTTAGGCTTCTTCATACAGCCAGCAATGAAGACGCATGTCTGAGATTCATATCCTGTTATCAGCGGCAACATACTGGTTGCAATCTTTTGTTTGTAAAAAGTCTTGTGTAAGGTTTTGAGAAATGTGTTACGAAAAGATGTTTTATTGAGAAGAGATTTTTATTTATGCCTATTGTGGCAGAAAGTAATCGACAAACTATTTTCCGCAACTTCATGTCTAACGCGCGTATTTTGCGTGTGAGCAGGAATTATGTAGTTTTATGAGTTTTGAGCCACAATATCTTTTAGAAGTTCAGTAATCTCTTAATGTTACTGCAAGTGACCTCAGCACGATAAGATGTTTCCTGTAAGTAGCAATCTCTGGATGTACCATCAGCATATAAGTCGCCGTTTCATCACTGAAATATTGATTGCATTCATGGATAAGCCCTGAGTTCATTATGTTGCTACTTAGATCTTGTAGTACTGCCTTGCTATTGGATTCAATGTTTAATATATTTAGTGGATAATGGCTAAATAATATGTGAGGGAATGGGTGCGTTTGGCAGAAAAAAGCGCTAGCAAGCGCTTATAAGCGCTAAAATAGTTTTCGGCCAGGACACGATTGCTACTTCAGTAGCGCTGACACAATCCGCCATTTTGCTTATTTAATTTGTTTGTTTTGAAGTAGAGTTTATAAGTTGTTTTGTGCAATATTAGTTTTAAGTAATATAATGACATGAATAAACATATACATGCTATTAAAAACTCATGATTGGTAAGTTTTAATATGAATACTTTACAAACATATATTTAAATTAGGTTAGATTCCCCGGTTAAAACTAACATCGTGTCTTGGAGGAAAATAGCTACTTACGATTTGACAGCGCTTACCGCTTACGATCGCCATTTTGCTTACAAGCGCTTGCTAGCGCTTTTTTCTGCCGAACGCACCCAATTATTTAGCGTCTACTTAAGTTACCATTACAGATATAAATAAAATTATTTACTATGTATTACCTAATCAAGCTTATGGCCTATCGAAGTCTGGAAAAAATCATCATACACAATTCAAAACTTAATTGACTAGTTGTTGTAGTTGTTACGATTCGTCAGTATAAGACAGGCAAGGGTCTTATACCATAAAGCCGAGTTTGACGTGTATTTTATTCAGAAAACTCTTCTATAAATACTAATGCGTTCTTTAAGAATTCTCTATGCTAGTAATTACCCTATATTAATATATATGAAAATTATATTTACTAGTTGTTGTAACGATTTGCCATTTAAGGCGTTTTATACCATACAGCTTAGTCTGATGTGTATTTTGTTTAAACTGGAATATCTTTGTTCCTAACTTCCTGCAGTAGTATGACCGAAGAAAAAAATGTTCAGGATTTTAAGTTCGCCATTGTCCTTTATGAGGATTCAATTTTTGTTAAAACTTCAGTGTTTATCAATTAATTTGTGTTTATCTAAAATACTTCAGTCAACTCTGTGAAGAACATCTATCGGGAAAGATCTTACAACGAATTCAGTAGAACTACGAAGATGGAAATACAATCAGCGCAACAATAAAACCATTTTAGTTCTTATCAATTGACATAAATATCGGTATATGTAGTGTTCGCGAAAAAAAAGCGGTTGTTAATTTAGTACGGTGAGCACCTTGCATTGGGAATGTACCACATTCTAACAAAAAAAGTTATAAGTGTTTAAATCTCAAATATTTCATAGATCTGTGGTAATAAATATATTCTTCATTAATTTAACTATTTGATAAGTAAATATATTAGTATTATACACGTTTTTTACTACGTTATGCTTAATGAAAATAAAAACTAACATCAAAATATGTTGCAGGAAGTCCATCTAGGTCTTGGAGGCTAATAAATGTCATATGTCTGTATTCGCCACTTACAGAAATCGTCATTCTTTGGTGTCTTATTAAACCTTTCCAAAAAAATTTATATAATTAAAAAAAATGTCCTAATATAAGGTTCTACAAAGTACCAGGTACATGCCTGCTAAAAATCAAGAGTAGATGTCAACTTCTCTTTTAATTATTTAAAAAAAAACTAATATTATAAAGTGTTTGTGTAGGTTTTAAGTCACATCTCAAGGGATACCAATGAGACTTATTTATTACTGAAATTCTGCTGTCTGTCCTCTGTGAGTGATTGTTTCGACCAATCAGAATAATCGCTATGGTCACGTGACCGATTTTCCAAAGGTTTTGCACCCCTGGAACTGCAACCTATGCCAGTTTTACCCGACAAATGCTGCATCTCGCAAAATAAACGAAATAAAGTCTTATTCCTGTGAGTTCGGTTACAAATATTAAGTTTTTTCAGGAACTGGTATTCGTATACACATTCATTCGCACAGACATTCGTATCTATAACTACGCCAACAACCGCTAACTAGGGAAAATCGCCACTGGACGGGCATAACCAATATGGGAGCCAAATCCGTCTATTTCACTGTGTTTTCAAAAATATTGTTTATATTCTGAACTGATGGTTTCTTTGTCATTTAATCATTTTGACATATTTATTGTCAGACCAACTAAATATATTAGTATCTAGTTTAACCAAATTTGGATTTAATTTATAGAATAGCCAAACTAAGACCATTTGTATTATTTTAAATTTAGATGCTGGTCTTCGCCGAGTTGACCTTATTAGCTTAAACCTTATATGATTTCAGTTGAGAAGAAAGTAGTGAATGGGAATGATGTGGTATCTCCAAAATCATCCATAGACCCTGATCTCGTCAAATCACTTGGACTAGCGGGCAAAGGAATGCCGAACATAAAGGGTGTCATCAAAGTTGATCCCAAACATATGCCAAACCTTACTACAGGTATGCTTATATTTTTTCTTATTCAAATTTGCTTTCCCAAAATATAAAATGAATATGAATAAAATGTAGTGATCAAGCAATAGGTTTTAAAAAAATTAAACTGATAATTTTTAGGTATATAGTATAAGAAAACAAAATAAGTCAAATTTCATTTAAGAAACGGTTTACAGGATATAACATAGAAATTTGACCTGGCCTAAAACTTATATAAGATTTATAATTTTCAAAAAAAAAATAGTTTTTAAATTGCTTAAATTAATTTTTAAACTAGTTGGTACCTGGCGCTTGCTGCTGCTAAAGAAACAATTGAAACAACAAATGATCTGTAATTTAATTGTACTATGCCTATAACCTTTGCGCAAGTGCTAGCAATTATTTGACAAAGTTTTACCGCAATCTGATAAACGGTATGGCAGCGCATGAAATATGAACAAACAAAAATTAATTTTTATATTATTATAATTAAGTTTTAACGATTAAAAAACAATAACTGAGTCCACAACAAAACAAAAAGTTCAATAACGAAACAATAACTTAACAAAATGTTCAATAATCAAAATGAGGGCGAGGGATGTCTATCTGTCAGTGCGCTCTAATCTGAGCACAAGTGGTATTCTGTCTCACTCTTACCTAATGACACTTCCTTTTCTTACATACTCTTACAAAACACAGCATTACCTAAAGAAACATCCTTGAAGTTCCTCGAAACGGTGATTCCTGTTCTTTATTAGTGGGGTATTTAAGCTTTCAAGGGTCATATTCAAACCGTCATAACTTCTAAACTATCTTACACTTTTAAGCACACATTCTATACTAACATTTAAAACTAAAAATGGAAAGAAACTGTTTGTTTTCAAAATTATCTTTTGCTGTTTTGTAAAAAAGAAACGGCTAAATTGTTATCATTGATTTATTGTCTATATTATTAGCTATCAAACAAGTCCTCTTTTGTCTTCCTAGGACTTCTACATGGGTATCTATGGCTTAATCAGTACAAGCACCCGTGCCTCGAGGCAAAAACAATGGCTGCCATTTCATCATGGAGAGAGATAAAAATAGGGATAGTGATTTGTCGATAAAATTTACTGTATATTTAAAATATTTTTTTTTTATTTAGATAACTATGTCCTTATTTCTAACTTCAAAGCCGGTTGTAGCCACAAAACATTAATTTACTTATAGAAAATTATACATATATAAACAATAACTGAAATGAAATATTTCAGCACCAGCTGACCTACGAGATCCAAAAACTGCGTAGGTATATCTTTAAAGGGCAAAGTAAATTAAACCATGATGAGTATGGGTAACAAAAAAATATAAATAATGGAATATTTCTTTTCAGGTGTTTATATAATGTCCAAAAGTTCAGGCATAATGAAGATTGATTCACCAGGAAAGTTAGGTCCAGGCTTAAACATAGATCAAGAGGTTATTCGGAAACAAATTTTAGCTGCCAAACAGAAAAAGCTAGAAGAAAGTAAAAAAAATTCGCCAATACGTACGCCAGTTCCTTCACAGGTAAATTTGGTTTTAAAAAGGTGGTGGTGAGGCCATAACAATTTATAAAATTCTTTAAAAAGGTGTTATAAATCATCCATTATTCTAATTCAAGGATTTGTGTATTAATGAGTAATAAACTTAAAAAACGAAATCCAACTCACATAGAGAAGCACAGCACCACTGAAATCATTAAGTTTTGTATTTAAAAGGATATCTAGATGGCGTTTAATCCATACGAACATATTCGTCAGTTTTCTCTCAGGATTATGACAGAAGAGCAAACATTTTGCTACAATATAATCCATATCTTCTTCTTCGGGGAAATATCATGGCTCGAATAACTACATTATTCCTGCCCACACGCAAAATACGCGCTTAGACGTGGATTTGCGGAATGCAGCCCGTCGTAAACTAAACTAAACTAAATTGATCCATATCTTCCACTGCCATGTTCCTTCTGTTTTGTATTTACCATAAATCAATTATTTTAAAAACTAGGTAGGTACTAGGTAAATACTAACTTTTTACACACCTAGAAAAAAAGCAAATATAAAAAAGTAAATGACAAAACAGCCTTTCTTCAAATATTATTTTTTAAAATTAATTTAAAATCAAACCAGTTTTGGAGGACGAAACTGAGGACTCTAAACTTAACTGTAGTTGCCTCTGTCGGTTACCTAGCTCAGTTGTTCAGGCACAGAGTGACAGCAATTGTTAAAAAAAAAATATTTTTTATTTCTTGTAGCTTTTTGATAACCTCTTTTAGGAACAGATTTATCATGTGCTTGGTTGTGAGGAAAATGTCAGAAATGCTTGATCGAGATTGAGATTTTTTTATACTAAAGTAAGCCAGAGCTTAACTGCAATCCCGGTAAGTGGTGATGTAGCCTAAGATGGTGAAGCTCACTGACTTAAAAGGCTATTCACTCTTGCTTTCACGACACTCACATTGTGATCGGAGGGAAAGATGATGGTAACTTCAATTTCTTTGCTGTACACATGACAAACAATGTAGCAAACCTTTTGGTTCGAATGCATTTTAATATATATGTAGCCGCGAAAGGATGGAGACTGGCTGAGTATCTGGTTGTCCAATGGTGAAAGGGAGGTATTAAATGAAATTCCTGTACACACTCTCTTAAAAGCATCCTGTAGAAAACTGGAAGTCTGGGTACTTTGCGCCTGTGTTCAAAGGCTAGTATGATTAGTTTTAACCAGCAGGGCTATTCACAATGCGTCGGAATGATTTCTCTCGGAAACTGAAGTTTCGTTCGACACGTTTTCGATCCGAATGTCACAGACTTTGGTATTCACATCTCCTCTCGTTTACTAATAATTGTTTTTTTTTTAGTAGTTAGTTATAGTTTTTAAAATTTTAATAATTTGTTGTAATTTCTTATTTAAATGTTGACATAATAAAATAATAAACCATTTATGTAATATGAAAGTATTTAGTATTTATTATATGTTCTGACAAACTATTTGTAAACATGGTTATGTCCCAGTGCTATTTATGTCCACAACGTTCTCATAAGGGGTCTAGCCGTATATCTCACTCTTACTGGATTGGGTATTTTAGGAAGGCGGCACATAATGATGCTGTCTGTAACCCGGTCAGTCCCTTAGTTGCCTACTGAATGAAAACCACATGGTTTACTTCGAGATGATAGCAGGTTTATTACGTGGTAGAGCCACGCTGCAGCTACAATATAGTTGTAGCATGAATGGCTCGTCTCGACCGGGGCAGGATCACACTCATAGAATACCAGCGTAATATAGCAGCGTAATGCTGTTGTGTTACATATGGTGAGTGTAGAGAATCGGAGACCCTTTTTACTGGAATTGAGGCATTCCAACTTAGTCCTTAGGGGTGACAACGCATTTGCATTTTGATCCTTAATTGAGAATAAATGTGGATGTCTATGGGCCCCGGCATCTACTTACCATCACTTAGACTATGTGTTCGTTTGTCACCCAATATAACCAAAAAAAAGGTACCTAACTTAAATTTGCATCGGGAAACATCGTCTTAATTTTTGAAATTTAATCGCTTATTGATTCATATACTATACTTGGTAATACCTACCTACAGATTCATATGAAGAATAAGTATGCTGTAGGTACCTATGTCGTTTAAATCTTGAGTTTTACCTTAAAACCAGTTGCTTCCATTTGAGGATGATTTAGTCAATTAATCCATTTTTTGATAATTTGAGGTTGATTTAGTGCGGCCACTGTCTCTAATGGCTCTGCTGGAAGTAGGCTGGCTAACTTTGAAGTCCGTCCGGATGCAAACAATGATCCGAAACAGTTTGTTTCGGATCATTGTTTGCATCCGTAGCTTCTCTTTTTCGTGGTTGCGGACTCGCCTATGAAGAATTAATGCTACTATACCTGACATTGCTTATATCTGTAAAATTAGTGATACAAAACTTATAAAAACACACCTTTCTTCCAAATATTCACAAAAATACAGTTTTGCAAATTAAGTGCGAATATTGTAGTAATTATATGAAAATATGTTCTATACATAATTGTAATTAATTTGTTACTTACCCTATACTTACAAAAGCTTATTTATCTCTTATAATTATCAATATTTAAGTTTTCGCCAGTCTCAGAGGTCGCGTAAAGTTTCCGATGCGAACTGTGACAATTCCCGAAAACGAATGTCAAATTCATCAGAATGTCGAATGTGAATAGCGTTTCATGGTTTCTGTTAGAAAAGTTATCGAATCAGAGTCGATTTCCCTTTTCGAGACGATTGTGAATAGACCCGCAGATAGTAGTCACCAATAAACCACCTCTTAGCACGCCTTTCCATAGTGATATCATTTCATATCATAGTAAAAATCTACAAACAAAATGACAGCAGTGTAGGTTTTCTCTTCTGTTAATTACCTTTAATAAACTGAATTAAAATTGAATGATTTATGCTATTTATTTCTAGCCCAAGAGAACATATGGATCAGGTGGTCAACAAATTACAGAGAAGACAATTATAACACCATCTGGACAAAAGATTATACAACGCACAATACAAAGACCTTATGGACACTCTGAGGGAAAATCTCCTGTAACCATTTTAAACAAAAAGTTGGCACAGGTTAGAACTTAATGTTATAACATAATATCACATTATTTTTATTTGACTTTTAAGTGAAAGAAGTCTTTTTTACAGAGATTAGTTATTAATATGTAATATAACATTTAATATCACATGTTATAGCACATTAACATCTAGGGCCCGCTTTATTTGCTATCATGCATACATGATCGTTTAATTGTATTGATTCATGGTTGATTGTCAATTTATTTATTGCTAGATTAATGTTAGAGAATAATTATTTGCTGCTAGAAGGCAGCTGTAGTAAATGATATTACTTAGTGGTTACATTTTCAATCTTCTGTTCAGAGGACCTTGTAGACATGTAAGATAGAGGGTCTATTAACCCTCCAATCCCCATAAAATTGGCAGCTGGCAAACCCGAGGTCGCAGCACACCCACCAGCACTTAATACCATTAAAACTTCATATTTTTTATTATTATTATTATTATTAGAAAATTTCATATTGATTCTATAATTGCAAACTTCTTCATAGAAAAGTAGTCTCTAAACATACGTATTTATGGGTTAGAGTGCTGTGGGTGGGTGCGGTCAAATTTGACCTCTTTAAATTTGATGGAATATCGTTAAATTTGATGGAAGCGGTCAAATTTTGACGCTTGGAGTTTGAGAGGTTAAGAGTCATAATTCAGAAAGAAAAAAAAACATACACATAGAACAATCGCTTTCTAGGGAACCATATACTAAGAACCACAGAACCAACACTCTAAAAAAATTAAGTTGGCTTAAAATCGTTACTTGAAGAAGAACAAGGGCTGTAAAAATTATTATCAATAGATTTTTTAGATTACGATTTAGATCAATTGTGTTCTGATAATTTTTGAAAATGAAAAACATTGAAAGTCTATTTTTACCTTGATATAGTTGAACCCGTTCACTGTCCTGTGTACTACGTCTAGTTCATTGCTATTATCTTACTTATTGTGTCTGAAAACTGGACAGTAATAGGTGTTAAAATCATAAATTAAAAAATTAAAATTAATTTTTTTCCTCAAAAGAATGTTTTAAATTGGACCTACACTTTGAATGCATATCCACTTAACATAATATAGCTTATGCCAGATACAGACACAAGTTGAGTGGCTTAAGCCTTGGAGTTTATAATTGGGGACAAAAGGAGCGGCAAGTTGCGCAACATGTCGCTCAACAAATACGTGGAATGTCTCGGGACATATGTTGCGAAACATTTTGCTGGACACTAGTCAGTGTTTACAGAAATGCCGCCCGAAGAGGTTGTGGCGATTAGTGCTGCGTAGGTACATAGTACTTCTTCGGGAGTGAAACGTAAGCTAAAGAGAAGGTGGTGGATGCGGAATTTCTTACTGCAACGAAAGGAATTCTTTCTTTAATGTTATAAGTGATAAGGTGGTGCGTGTGGATGAATGTTTTTCTTACTATTCTGCTTTATTGCGCTATATCTTTTAAACCATCACAACATTGGCTTTGCCATTTTTTTTACAAAATCCAATGTCAAGCAGCATTCCTTGTGGCTCAATCAGTCGCAAGGAATGCAACTTGACATTTCACTGCTGCATTTGGAGTGTGAATCAACTGTCAGTTGCATCTGTCTCATGGGCGTAGAATACTGTAATACATACATAATAGAACGGGGAAGTGGGCGGAGCCCATGTAGCCACTAAAATGTCACTAACATTTCAATTCACACGTATAACTATCAACACGAGTGTGTTGATGTTACAATAATTTACAAATAAATATGTATTAAAATTTAAACGATTTTTTAAATGATGATCTTGAACATTAATCAAAAGTCTAAAATGTTTAAATTTACTCAGTCTGTCCAATCGGGTTTATAGTAGTGATAATACGACGAAATTGCTTATATGTGTGCTCCCGGCGACGCCAACCCTCGTACAAAATAAGGTTGACAGCCATTCTATTGTGTATTATAAGCCATTTTTGACAAATTTATTTTTCATTTTGAGCAACTTAAAGCGCATAATTCTCGTAAATCTTAGTAGCCTTAGATATAAACATATAATTATAAGAAATGTTTTATTTTATAAATATATTTTTTATTGCAGGGTGACAGCTTATTGCGTCGCGGTGGCTCTGGGCGCGGCCGCGGACGAGGCGGCTACTCAGTATCGACGGCTGCTGGCAACATTGTACGCATACGCGACAAGGCCATCACCTTCGATTTTGATAAGGTTGGTCATATTAGTTACAATATAAAGTGGTAAATGGTGAAAAGCTGGAGGAGACCTGTGTCATCATCGATAATATCCAGCAAATTAAGTTACACAGTTTTCAGTTATAACAGGCAACATATAAAATTAAGAATGTGGTAACAAGTTGTAAATTTACTTGTATATTATCAACTGCTGCCTGACAGATGAAGGCTTTCTCAATTGAAAAAAATACCTAAGAGCAGCATTACTAGGTTGAGGATATGTCTGTTTGGCATGGTGAGAGGTCAAGATGTATTTATAGTTGTTGGCCCATATTGAAAAGGTAATGTTCAACTGTGAATTAAAGAAGGGCTAGAGAAGAAATGTAAAAGGTTGTTTATAAGCTTGTAGAGTGAATCGATATAGTTTTTGCTCAGTAGTACCTTACCTATTACTTGAATAAAATTGTTATTTTATCATGTAATATATAATAGTAATTAATTTTATTATTAATAAATATACAAATCACACTTTTTTATCACAAAAATATTATTCTTAAAATATCTTATAAGATAATGTTGTCGCCACTGTAGGATATTCTCCTGTATTGTGTAGGTCTATAAGACATATAAATAATACGTGGACAAACATTCAGTCACGAGACGATTATTTGTAGCCCATACAAATATCCGTTCTGAGCAGGATTCAAATCCGCGACCCGCTGCGTGACAGCCAAATGCATATTTACCGAGATGGAGTGCGTATTGGGTCGTTTTGACTAAAGGAAAGGTTGCTTCTAGTCGGACGCGTCATCGGAGTCGTCGGACGGCATCGAGGACCCGTTCCCGCGCGAGCTGGGCCCGCTGCCGCCGCCGAGCCCCGAGCGCGAGCTGACGCTGTGCCCGCTGACGGGGCGGCGCCTGGCGCGCGCGGAGGGCGAGCCCACGCCGCCGCCCACGCCGCCGCCCGCCTCGCCGCCGCCCGCGCCCGCCCCCGCGCACACGCCCCCGCCGCAACACAACGCCACCATGCTCATGAAGGTACACAGCGCCTTCTTTACCGCCCCTTCTTAATACCCTACTATAGTACGTTTCTAGGGCAAGCGGAAAAAGTACATTGACCTTTGACGATATCATCGGGGTAGGCAATCTTTTTCTTTAGGTTCATTTTTTTATCCTTTTATCATTACATACATCATCAGAGTGAAAGATAAGGGTGCTGAGTGCGAAGTTATTTACAGGGCCCCCTATGTCTATTATTTTTTTTATAAAAAAAGATTATCATGTACCTAAATGAATTAAAAAGCAAATTAATATTAATTTAAGTTTATTATTTATAAATCATGACTTATTACAATTTTCATTATTACGTTAATAGTAGGTAAGTACTTTAATAAGTAGGTCAGGTAAAAAGACGAACTTTTTATGCTAAGCATTCTTAAGCAGCCAACCTTGAAGCATGAATAAAACTTCTCATAATAGATTGTCAGAGACACTTGACAGACTATTCATCTGTATTTATTTCAGAATCATTTTATGATGATGAAGACTTAGAAGAGTCCGTCACATTGATTATAACCTAAAATATCGGCAGTCTTCTTTTTCATATCCGTTTTGGATGGATGGATATACGTCACTAGACCACGTTTCTTTTACATATTTATAGATGTTTACAATCATAATTTTTTTGGTTTCCGAAATATGCGACACTTTCCGCTTCTTTCGTGGTGACGTAAAGTCTATGAGATTTTCATGTTGATGGACCCGATTTCATACTAGTGATAATTTACAAAAGTCACAAAACAATAACAAAAATTTTAATACAAAACGTAATAATACAACTAACAAAACAAACTCAATAATAATTAAAACTACTACTATAACCGAAAATTTGAAATCTTAAACTATCTACACGCAAGCGCATCCCAAAGCAGAATGAGGAATGAGTTCTGCTCCATCCGCTCTCTCAAATACGCAAGGCGTGAGAGTTATCGCAAATCGCGTCGAAACTGGTTTATTATCTCTGAATGACCGCTTCCTTCATCCTACCCCGTACCATGAGACACGCTTAGCGCATAACGATACGTAATCTATAAAGAAATGTACGGAAGCAATAACTGTCGTTTTGTTTCGATGCTAACATAATACTTGAGGTCAATGTACTTTTTTCCGCCTGCCCTAGAAACGTGCTATACCTACTGAATAATATAGAGCTCTAGAATGCACCAACTCACAAAAACTTTATTTTATTGTAACAGATATAAGATTAAATTTTTAATTTGCCTTTACGGTATAAGAAAAACTTAAATTTGTATTTGAAGTACGTCCGTATCGACGCGCAGATCGCGCCATTGCTCGCTCGTGTACTGTAAACTTTTAGGTATTATGTTTTAATAAAGATTAAATTATAGTGACAACTTTTAACATTAACATAACATAAACACTCACGCCTGTCACCCAGAGGGGTAGGCAGAGACTACAGACTTCCATTTGGCACGATCCTGACATACCTCTTTCGCCTCCTTTACATCCATATATCTACGCATACATGCTCGTCGGTTAAGGGTACTTCTAACGTGGCCCCTTTTCAAAATAATCGCCAATTTGGTCGATAAACTTTTTTCTAGGGCGTCCCTTCCCGACTCGGCCGTTCACATCTGCCATATAAATTTGCTTTGTCACTCTGTCCTCATTCATTCTTTCTACATGACCAAACCACCGAAGCATTCCTTTCTTAATCCTGGTCACAACATCATCTTGCATACCACATTTATCTTTTATCACGCAATTTCTCACCCTGTCATTCAGATTCAACCCTAGCATACTCCTTAGAGACCGCATTTCTACAGCATTTATTCTACTTTCGTGCTTCTTCTGCCACACCCAGCTTTCACTACCATACATTAAAGTAGGGACTAACACAGCATTATGAATTACCATACGTGCCTTTTTTGACACATTCTGGTTCTTCATAATAGAGTGTAGTGCCCCATTCACTCTATTCCCTGCATTTACTCATCGTTCTATATCTCTATCATATCTACCATCCCTGCTAAATACACATCCCAAATACATAAACTCATCCACTTGCTCAATTAACTCTCCTTCTATTCTTATTTCACATACCGTTTTGCTTTCTTCTCTTTCAAAAACCATCACTTTCGTCTTACTTGCGTTCACTTTCATTCCCCTTTCTTTTAATTCCCAGTTCATTAATGTAACCATCATTTGCAACTCAGCCGCCAATGACGCAAATATGACTTGATCATCGGCATACAAAAGGCATTTGACGGTTACCTTGCCCATTCTTAACCCACATTCTTCATCTTTCAAAGTTTGCAATCACCTGTCCATAAATAGGTTGAACAGCCAAGGGGAAGAGCTACACAGCCCTGTCTGACACCTTTTTGGATGCCAAACCAGTCCGAGTAGACCCCATTGATCCTGACACAAGCACTAGAGTAATTATTATGTCATAAACTGAAAACAAGCATTCATAAACAATATTATTTGTGTATTCATTTCAAAAGCTACTAAGTACTAAAAAATAACAAATATATTATTTAAAACAATTAGATAGGTAAAATATCTAAATCTTTCGCGGACCATATTTAAGCTCTTGTGGACCACTGGTTGGAAATCACTGCATTAGAGGGATGTTTATAGGCTGTAACTTTTACTTATATTATATATAATATTTTCTTATAAATTATTTTTCACAGTTTTTTCACATTCACGTTTATTAACAGAGCTTGCACTAAATCAATACTCATTATCATTACTATCACATAGAACAAATTGAGCCGCTCTCCCACATTTTACTGTCAATTCTTTTATGTTTATAATGTTACCTTGGTAATAATTATTACCAAGTAAAATAGAACAAAATATATTTTTGGTAACTATTAAATGCATAGAGGCAATAAATTATTAATATTTTCATTATATTAATATATAATATAATATAATATATAATAATATACTCAGTGATAGAAAGTTTATATTTGAACATAGGTGGAGATGTCTCCAGGTGGTACGACAGGAATGCTAGTACAACAACAAGGAGATGGAGCACAACCATCTTTACCTGTACTAACAGAAGAGGATGGAGTGAGTATACTATATAAATGTAATATTTTTGTTAATTGGTACAGTTATTTTATGCTGATCTTTGTAATTATTTAACAGTCAGAAGTAAAGGTGGAATCAAATGCAGTGAAACAACTTCTAGAAGAAGGAGTTGGGGTAGATGAAAATGAAGAAGTAGGGTTATTGCACGCTGGTCATCCTCCAATTATGATTCGAGGAGAAGACGGCGTCCTATATCAAGTTAGTAATAGCTATAATTGACTTTTTAAAGGCTGGAAAAATATTGTGCTTGATAATTGACTTCAAAGTATATTTCCTATTGTCTATTACCTATAACGTTAACCCTTTGACTAGTTTATTTTACAGATAGTTAATTTTTCATGTATTGTTTTCTGTATTTCTTTAGCATTTCTAGATATATGTTACAAGTTATTTGTAAACTTATCGTCAGGCTTTAGCATCAAATAATATATATATTATATTTTAGGTGGCGGGCGAAAATGAAGCCGGACAAACATTGTTAGTAGCTGCAGAGGGTGTCGAAGGCGCTGTGGAAGGTGTAGAAGGCGCTGTTGAAGGTGAAGGCGATGGTGTGATGTATGTTACAAGAGAAGATGGACAGGTTAGATATTTTTAAATTAAAGGTTTGATCACATTTTTAAGACATGATAATGATTTCGGTACGACTTTCCATTTACGTCCGTCGAATTTACGGTGGGGGGAAGGAGGTGTACTACCCCCTCCCCTTTCCTCAATTATGAGGAATTTTTTCTCATTTTTTGGATTAATATTAAGTCTAAAAAACCAGGAAGACCTCTGGGGTAAGGGGTCCCTCCGAATGAGGGGGAACTCCCTTCTTCAAAAAAAAAAAATAGGGTGACTGATTCATAGGGATTTCTGTATCGTTTTTAAAAATCTCCTTCTGAAGATATGTTTTCGTAATGTTTCTGACAATATAAACCTGATGATTTCTTATATTTACGCGAACATTGCACATGATTAAAACCTGCTTGGGATCCTATAATCAATAAAATTAAAACTAAACCCAAGCATACCACTGCAAGACCTCAGGACATAGTCAGTTCATTTTGCATAGATCGGACCATAAACAATAATTAAAAAAGCTGAAGGTACTCCGGGTTTAACAATGACATCGGGACGTCAGTCATCTCAGTCCCCCCGTGACCATGGGTGCTGAAAAGCGCCCGAAACGTCGGGAATTAATAATAAAAAGTAAAAATAAACGCGATAAAATCCGTAAGTGTTTTGACAAATATAAACCTGATTTATGGGGGAGAGAGTTGGGGAGGGGCAGCCCACGGCACTCAGCGTGGCGAATTCGAAGGAAGCCCGGTCTACGGAGCTCCGCTTCGCGGGGCTCCTACTCCTGAGTGGTTTATAGAAAAATAACCACAAAGGGGATGGCGAGGTCTATTGGCTTGCTTCGTTCGCTCACTCGACCCCGCCATCCTCTTCTAATCTATCCGATTCGGGGTGCCCTAAGTCCTGAGCTCGCTTCGCTCGCTCTTACGCTCAATATAACACCAAAATATTAATTTTGATAATTACTTTAAATTATAAACATAATTTATAGCTACCACCATTTGTTAAAAAGGATTCAGAGGGGTCGAAAAACAGGTGAAGGCAGATAACTTTAGGGGGCACATTCACGTAAACTCGGAACAACGTAAAGTCTATTTGTGACTGTTAATAAAATCGTCGGCCTAGCGATTCATTTTACGCACGTAAAGTCTATTTGTGACTTTTAACAAAATCGTCGGCCTAGCGATTCATTTTACGCACGTGAAGTCTATTTGTGACTGTTAACATAATCGTCGGCCTAGCGATTCATTTTACGCATTATGTGATGACTTTGACCGATGCAACGTTAAAAACGTTAGAATTTAGTTAAATGTACGTTCAATTTCACGTTTAGTTAGTGATTTACCAATATTTAAAAAAAAATAATTAAAAATACTTTGACACTACTCCGGCAGCAAAAATCGCATGGATTGCTTCAGATAAATCCCCTTGAACTACACAGTGACAGAATCCTCAAATTCAGGCGACTTACTTTCAAACCCAACCACATGGAAACTACTGAAATGAATACAAAATATAATTCTTATTATACTTATATACGTTCGGTAACATTTTATTTATATAAAATAAAATGTTACCGAACATATGTCAACTTAATCGTACGTAAAACGGAACTTTCGATGGCGATAATTCGATATAATCTGTGGTAGGGATTTCCATAAATATTGCACAAATATTTTTTTCTCAAAAAGTACGCGTCTCCGCATGTTGAAACTTTGCGTGTGTGCTTATAATAATGTAACCTTTCTGTAAAAAAATATCACCCCTTAACTCGACGGACGTCACAATGGAAAGCCGTCTCATGATTTCATTCTCTTTATGAATGTACACCACGCTACCAAAGACTAACATATAGGGTTGTGATTTCATCTCTTTATAGTTTAATCAAACATGGGAAACTTTTTCAATGCGAAAATTCCTGGACTTGTCTTTAACTAACGACTTTATTCCAATGCAGATTACGCGGTTGGACTATTATTATGTACAAATTTTTATTTAACAAGGGGACACTGATCCCTATTGTTTATTTGTAATGTGATTATATATATGGCCGCCAGTTGCTTATTCGTCGTATTGCTCAAAAATGTTCCCAACGATAAGGATCAGTGGCCTTGGTAAGTAATGAAGTATGTAGATATAAAAATAGATAACGCGCCGACTATTAATGCAAGTAACCATACATTGTTAAAGCCTTTTCTCCTTTGGACATTGTTATCGTTATGCTATCGCGAGTGTTCTATTACATTCCGGTAGGAAGAGTGGAACGACTCATCGAGTATAAAAGCGTGTGCTGGCGATCGGAAAATTAGTTATTATAGAAAAGCGAAAGTGAACTCTACTGTGGGAAGCAACTACGAGAATTCGACCTACAATATCTGCGATTATTAAGGACCTCACCGAAGAAGTTTAGCGATTTTGTACGACGTAGTTATTATAAACTCGCTGTGTGTGGAAAAGTTCAACTATTTTTTATCCTAATTGCCAATTTTACTCACCCTGCACATAATAATATCTGGGGGCACGGCAGTGCCTACGCCAAGTTGAGCAAAAAATCGGCACGACCGTACCATACTTTTCTCGAAGCAATTCAGGCCATTTAACCCACTATACCTTCGTTGTGGATAGAACTAGAAACCTGAATTTTCAGAAAACAAGCAAGCATTGTATAGACACGGTATATTTCAAATTTCATTCCATTTGAACCAGTAGTTTAGGAATTATAATTAGTCAAAGTTTCTTAATTTTGTCACTTACTGACTGACCGATCATCAAAACTCTAAGGCACTTCTAGCAGACATAGAAACTTCGAAATTAGAACACAATTAGTGTTTAGTGTAAAAATCAAGGAAAAACTAAAATATTTTTCAATTTCCGTCCAGTTTTGTAGATACACCAACTGCATAAATAACTTTGTAATCCCATATAAATATATAGGATTACAGAGTCACATTTGCATTGAATGAATCAGTGTACCTATATATGTATAATATAATGGAATAAAAGATGTAGATAAGTACTTTGTTGGTAATCAAGAAGTAGAAGGAACCGGAAGGAAAAAAGTAGGTCTATCTGAAAAAAGAAATGAGATGCCATCAAAAACATAACTTGTAAAAGAAAACAAGTCTCGCGCAACTCAGTTCTTCTATCGTAAAAAGTTGTGAGATCCATATAATACCAAGTCAGTTAGTTTATTCAGTTCCTACAATTATATAAATATATTATAAGTTAAATATATTATAATTATTAGCAATCGAATTTAATATAATATGAATTACTTGTGAGATACATTGTGTTTTCATGCGATGACCCAAGTCAATCTATTTATTTAAAACATAAAAGATTTTTAATATTTATATGGTCACAATAAGATGTTATGTTAGCTAATTACGTAATAACTTTTTGCGAGAGAAGAACTGAGTTGCGAGACTGTTTTTTTTACAAGTTATGTTTTCGATGACATAAAACTAACATGACAAACGAACTTATAGGACAACCTATCAACTTAACACAAAGAAAAATATAGATGCATTGTCACTTCTGAGGACTAACATGGAATGTCTCACAGCGTGTATTAAAACTGGTTCTTGATACCCTTAAGAACTGGAACACAGCTGTTTGCCTACTTCTGCCGGACGGTTAGAAGAGATCAGAGATTGTTTCTTATTCAAAGAGATTCTTAGGCAGAAAAGGAGTACAATAACCTAGTAAATACTAATTTAATATAATACATGCTACCAGGATAACAATTTTGTGAATGTTTTAGTGTAAATGTATATGTGATAATCGTTTATATATATATATATATATATATATATATATATATATATGTGATAGTCTGATAATCGTAAGTACTAATAAGCCATGTTCGATCTAATGTTATAAATGCTCGTCCTTTCCTTCGGCTCCTGCTGTTGCAGAGGAGTTTGCTCTGATACTTATTATGTGGGGTGAACGCAAGTGTTGATTGCAGTGCTTGTGTTAAGATGTGCAGTGTTTTACGTCGTAGAGCCACACAGCAGTTATATTATGGTTGTAGCACGAATGGGTTGGTTTGACTGGGGTAGGACCACACCCACAGAATACCAGCATAAAATAGCAGCTACTGTCTTTAGTATGGTAAGTCTATAAATCTGGAGACTCTTTTACTGGAAACAAGGCATTCCATTGTAGTCATTCATCTCAATTAACACTTAAAATACATCTGTGTTTTCATTGATAATCGAGAATAATTGTAGATGTGCATGGGTACACATGCACAGCATGTACTTAGTATCAGGTGGAGTATGAAGTGGTTGGTCAGGCGTATTGCAATGTGTTGGTGTGCGCAGGACGTGCTGGCGATCGAACCGAGCCAGCTGGCACAGCTGCTGCCGGGCAGCGGGGGCGCGGGCGCGGGCGAGGCGGGCGCGCTGCAGCAGGTGGCTGTGCAGGTAGAGGGCGAGGCAGGCGAAGACGCCACGCAGGTCATCGCGCAGCTCGTGCAGGCTGACCTGCCCTCGCCCGGTGAGCAAACTGGACCTATCCCATTGTTGTACCCGGATTTACCATTAAATGTCACTCTTGCCATACAACAAACAACAATGCGGTTTTTTGGCACTCCGTGACGGCTCCGTGGCACATTAGCCTTAGCAATGAGTTGTAGCAGAAGGAGCCGCAGGATCGAATCCCGCACGGAACAAATATTTGTATGACCTACAAATAATTGTTCCAGGTCTGGATATTTGTCTTTGTGCAATTTATGTTTGTAAACTGCCTATATGATACAGGTGAAGTTCTAGTGTTCAGGTAACGTTTAAAAAAATGATAATCATAGTACCACACACTTCATACCTTCGATGCTGCGCTCCGTCGCCGGTCTGGCTATTTTATACTTGACGTAAAGATGGTAGTATCGCCACAATTTAAACCATTATAAGCTAGTACTTAACTACTGTTCCACCTAATGGTAAGAACTAAGAACTGAAAATAGAGCCTGATTAGTAAAGTGCTTCTATTGGCAACCATATAGTATTTCTGTTATTTACTACAGCAATCTCTTTCATACCCACTTCAGTTAACAAAGTGATGGAGTGCCACTCACTTTCATTCTATTACAGAAATAAACTAACTAATCTACCTTGCGATGGAAGTGTGTGTGTGTATACTAGTTTGTATTAATGTTTTTAAACTTTTAAAACAATACTTGTTTTGCTGTTTTTCAGGTGGCACTAGGCGGGTAGTACTATTGTTACCTGATGGTAGCTTCACAATGACTGAATTGGATAAAGAACAATATGAATCCATAACAGAAGCGAGCAAGGCGCAAGAATGAAATTTAAAGAAAATCTAAATTGATATGACTGATTTACGAGCTGCCAGAGTTATGTAGCTGATGTAACTATCGCTGGGACATATCAAAGAAGCGGAATATTTGCCTTAATAATTGTTGTGTAGAAACTACCTATCAGTAAACTTATTTTAAAAAGCAATAGACATCATTCCAATTTATAACGCACATTTAATATAAAATATTAGCAGTTACCTTAAAAATATTACCCTTCTTCTGACGCCTTTTATTAATTTTTTAAAGTCAAGACGCTGTTTATATGTGGAAAAACTGACAAAAGTACTTCAGCAGGATAGTATTTACAGAATGTGTATAATTGGTGAATAAAAGTAACATTGTAAATAAATGAGTATGCTTCGAACTCTTACTACGTACAAGTGTATGGTGGTAATAAATATTTAAAATAAAGTGAGGGTTAAAAAATTTGTAATTTGCAAATTGCAAGCATCCTCTTACGAAGATTGTCAATATTTTAAGAGTTACATATAATTGTAAATATCTGAAATCACATTAAAGCATAATTTGAATTTAATGTACTTTTGTATCTAATATCGGTATACCCACTGTGTTCTTACCATCTGTTTTAAACACTACACATTTAGATTTTCTAAACTCGTTAAATTAAATATATAATATTGAAAGTCTTAAATTATTTAATAATATACCAAAATTAGACTTATTTTAAATGTATTAATTTCATTATCTTCTAAACATTATTGTATATTATATTGTAGAAAAACTTTTCAAACTTGTTGAGATTAAGTCTCAAGATTTAATTCGATCGTAACAATTAAAGGAAAAGCCTAAAAATAAGTCTAAACTTCATTTTATCTATGTAATGGGTCCGAAAAGTATTGAATGACAAGTAAAAAAGATGGTGAGTGGCTCATGTGTACCATGAGTCACACTCGTGGGACACATGAGCCACTTATCTTATTTTCATGGAAATGAAACTGCAGACTTCAATATGCAACAGTGTTCAGGCAACTGAACAGACGGATCTCCAAATGCAAGAATTTTAACACTGCTCATATTGAAGACATGATTGAGCAGGATCAATGTTCCACCAGCAACAGGAAATCTGTGCTGGAAAGTCACCGGCCACCTGGTTTGTTGAAGATCAAACTGTGGCACCATCATTTCTGGGTCACATGACATTGTAAGATTGAGAGGCCTAGTTCGACGGTACTTATTGGTGATGGAGTCACTCCATAGTGTGAGTATCGATCTAAGAGCAAGTCTTATTTGACTCTATTCAGATTAACAATCTAAGCAAGACCTTAAAAATGCATCTTAAAATGGGAAGTTCCTGATTGACAAACTACGGTAGAGCTTGTAGCAGTAAAGCTGAAATACACGCTCACGCCCACTGCCTCATATAGGCACACAGGCATAATTTTTAATGTCCGTATTTAATACACATAAAATGTCATTTTAATTGGTCATTCAGTTATTGCTTAGACCATGGAGGTTAGAGAGAAGGAGAACGGTCCCAAAACGTAGATGAGAAACCTATAGACAAATTGACGCCTTCTTTCGCTTTCGCACACGAAAAAGATAGATTTATGCATACATCGTGCATAGAAATGAGACAGAGCGGTGTGATTGTCCCTTTTTCCGTGCCGGTTTTTTTGTTTAGCAAACTACACTTTGCTAAACAACTTTGACAGTTCGTAGCGATCTAAGGAGTTTACAAGTTGGTTTAAGAGAGAAAAAAGTGTTTTGTGAGCTTTAGATTGGTGAATCTTGTTCAATTCAGTTCATAGAACAATTAAATTTTTTATCTAAATATGTTTAAGTCATAAAGATTATTGTATAACCTAAAACTACGTTATCCTCCTTTCTCACTCGAGGCCACGCTAATCATTAGTCTATAGGTTTCTCTGTCTACAACTCTAAAGGCCGGCCTATGGAGTGTAGAGGTAAGGAGTAGGTTAGATTAGACTGTGTATTAAAAAGTGTCCTAGAAAACTGTTAAATAAAGGTGGCGCCACTATAGCTACGGGGTAAATTTTAATAGCCCGTAAAGAACGCACCGAAAAATATTAGTTGGATAAAATACTTTTTAGAGGTTATATTTACTAAATAAAATTATTTTAGAGCTACTGAGTAGTTTAGCTGCACACTTCACACCGTCGAGAACTGCTAAGTTCATTTCATGTAGCTGTTTCCTGTAGCTACTCCAGCGCTGTTGTGGAGAGTTTTTGAAATGTTATTTATTGCTTACAGATGGACACTTTTTCAACTATTCTCCTTTGAGAGATTGTTCTCCTTACCTCTACATTCCATAGGTCGGCCACACACATACAGAGTACCTATATATAATGTACTCTGTGCATACGGAATTGCGAACGGATCGGCCACATACATTCGGAATTTTGCCCGCAAAATTTCGAAACTACTGTACGTGTGTGACGAGTCCTTGATATTATATGGATTTTGTGCGTTCGGAATTCCGTATGTATGTGGCCGTCCCAAACGTAGGAGCGATGAGCTTGATGAAGAAAAAGAAATGAAAAGAAAGAAGCGATGTTCTTGGACTTGTGACCTGAACGCGCGATAGCGGACGTACAATGCGACAACCTTGCTCCATACGGTAAGCGTTGACGAATTTATCGCGCGACTAGTCGACCGTTATGTACGCATTAACCTTTTGAGCGCCAAAGTCGTCTATACGTGACCAGCACCCGCGTGCCCTGAGCGCCAACGACGTCTATAGATGACAAAAAACCCGGCCCACAAAAATATGAAATATAGACATTGGAAAATTATTACTGGTATTTTAACTCTACACCCCTCAAAAAAAGAATAACCCAGCAACATGTGAGTATAAAAAACAAGTCTCCTAGAGCCACAAGTACTAAGAAACATTGAACTAAAAAAAATGGATTTTTATCTAAGCAAATACTATGTCCAGCACGCCAAAGTCGTCTATGTTAGACCGCTAGTGTTGAATACGTTAGCCATAAATTTATTGAAAACTATTCAAAATTAAGCTCAAACGTGTTATTTTTTTCTATTATTATTGATATTTAAATAAAACAAAAGGTTAGAAATATAAAACTATAATTAGCTACATGAATTAAAAAAAATTAACAAATTATCTTCGCATAATAAATCTAATATCTCAACTCTGGCGCATCCTTAGCGCGACATCGAAAATCAGTTCACTGGGCGCCGTGGTCAAGTATAGACGACATACTGATGACGTCATAAGCGATTAGCGGGAAAATTAGTGCAGTGCAACATGAACGATTCCTCAGAACTCATTCGGATTTTGGAAAGCGTCGACGATGATGAATTTTCGAAAATTTAAAATTATCGTGAAACCAAAGTTTTTCGTTTTCGATTAACTCTACCTCAATGAGGTAGGAATACACTTTATAGTCTTTTTACGGTTAATTTCTTTTTTTATAGCATAGGGTAATAAACGAGCACACAGTCCACCTGATGGTAAGTGGTTGCTGTGGCCCATAGACATTTACATCTATCCTCGATTACGAATCAAAATGCAGATGCGCTCTCACCCATGAGGACTTAGATAGAATGCCTCGTTTCCAGTAAAGAGGGTCTCCGGTTCTCTACACTTACCATACGAAATACAGCAGCATTAAGCTACTATTTGATGCCGATATTCCGTGAGAGCGTGGTTCTTCCCCGGTTGAGCCGACCCATTCGTGCTACAATTACTAACTCCCGTAATATAAATGCAGCATGGCTCTACCACGTTAGAAAATTTGCTTTGGCCAGCTAAACATTTATGTTTTATTATTCCATAAGATTTTTATTATTTTAAGACTAATATTACCTATAATTTATTAATTATTTTTAATTGTTGTTTTCTATATTAAGTACTGATTGAGTTAAAGACCAAGATTTTAATATTTTATGACTAGACCTAGTGCAAATAATTATTTACAATTGTTGAATAATTATGTACCCTTTGTTGATTTCTGTAATAAGTACTGATTTTTTTATTCCATGACCAAGATTTTAATATTATAAGACTGATTTTTCTAGTGCGAATAATTACCTATATACAGTTGTTGATTAGTGAATAATTACGTACCTTTTCTATTTTAATAATATAAAATTACAAATAATAAATGTGTTTTCTTTACTTAAGGTATGAAGAGCAATTTTCATTTTGTGTTGTGCGATTTTCTTTCTCAATCTCAAAATCATTTAGCAACATCAGTATCATATGAAACCCCCCTTTATCATAAGAGCGTAAGACTTTTCTTCTGTGATTCACTTGGCCTACGCCTTGCCATAAAATATTTTGAATAGATGTCTGTATATTTTGGTTATATCGATTTTGAAATCGATACACAACGTGCGACACGGCTACATCTCTAAGAAAGTTTCAAAAAGAAAGGTCAGCTACGCCGTTGTCGTCCAGTCGTGACAGTGACGTCATCACGACGGAGAGTAGTGTTGTGGTTTACTACTATTTTATTGTTATTGTTTGTTTTTTATTTATGTACAAAGTACATATATAAAAAAGAGTGGAAGACAGCACAAGATTAAATAAAACATACCCGATTATAAAGACTCATTTATTGTATAAAAAACCAACAAAAACAAGTTATTTTGTGTTATCGATATATCAACTCTTGGCAGCACTGTTTTTTTCGTAGGTATTTTTGTTTACTTTTCGCTTTGGCGTACAGGACACGGTAGTGAGTTTTTGGCGTGGCGCTCAAAAGGTTAATGTTGATTAAAGTAGCGCGTAGCGCCATATTACAGCGCGCTATTCCTATCTCCATAGCGCAATGCGCCTGCTATATAGGTAGCAGCCTTATTACACTACGTCGAATCAGGTCCCTATGCCCTTAATCAGGGTGGTGTTATAAGAGTAAGGGTCCCTACCTAGGGCGATGCCATTACCATCGTGCAGTGACGCTTTGGGCAGTTAGGTCACTTATTCGATGAGCGACTAGGGATGAAAACGATACATCAATTCTTTCAAACATCGATATATCGTTCATAAACATCGTTCTTCATGAACGATGTTTTGGCTTGCCGTCAAAAATTCAGAGCCACGAGGTTTCGAAATGACTATTTATTCAAAGGTATAAAATTGGGGACGATGATTATCACGAATTTTATGTCGCCGAAAAATAAATATGCGAAATAAAAAAAATGTTTAAGTTAAGGTTTATTTAGCAGAAATAACTCAATCCCCAAAATTTTAATTACGAATTAACAAACCGACGAATGGTATTTCAGCCGAAAATAAATATACTCTAATTTCAGAAGTGCAATTTTCTTCAATCGGTAATTTTATTTTCGATGTAAAATTGTAGTTATTTTTAAAAAAATAAATATTGAAAATTTTACAAATATTGAAAATGGATTGAAATTGTTTTATTCATTTTCTTATAAATAATTATATTATTTAAACTTGATCAATAGCTTAAGAACAATATTATAAGGTAATAGTTATTTTGTAACGGAAATTGTTTTATCGGCTTCCGGTAATTCGTATTCGTTACAATCACTTTTCTGAAATATTGATTTTGACGGATGAACGGTTAATTCGCCTGTTTGTATTATAGCTTTGTAGATGTATTTGGAAAAGGCGATAAAACTGAAAGGTGACGTATTTTTTTTATTATGCGCGAGTAGCTATGCAGGTCTAGGGAAAGAGACCAGTATCACTGCGACCTAAAAATCTATTGTGATCGCTGCTATGGCTATAGTTCACTAGGTACTAAGACTTATGTCTTCAATGAATAGAAGGAGTTGCTTAGCCGTGAGCAACTTCACTTCTTCTGGGCGGAGCACATAGTTTCCCAGATAAGTGTTACGTTTGCGCATTAAAGGTCCGCAATCAGTTAGGATGTGCAGAGGCGTTTCTTCCGTTATGGAACAGAACCGACACATCCTTGAGTTGCTTAGTCCCAGGATGGACATTTGATTTTTAAGACAACTGTCTAGTTATGGTGCTCGCCAGAATGCGCAATTTATTTTTACTTAATCCCAGGGCTCCTGAAGCGAATTTACGATCAAAAGCCCGGATCAAGATTTTAGAATGTTTTAAGCCTGGTGTGTCAGATCAGATCTTAGTGATATATTGTGATAGAGTTTCAAGGGTTAATCGGACTAGGTTTCTTGAGATTCCACAAAGGGTTCTGATCCAAATTGTGTGCACTTTGAACCCTCCCGTGCAAGTTTGTCGGCAAATTCGTTGCCTACAATACCCGCGTGACCCGGAACCCATCGTAAAACGAACCTATTGTTACATGCCAGGCCGTTTAAACGGTTCACGCAGTCCAACTAGCTTCGAGTTCACTATGTTTGACCTCAGCGCTAGCAGTGCTGCTTGACTATCAGAGTTTATGTAAATTATATGGTTGACGTAGTGTTTTTGCAGATTGATTTCCGTACACCGAAGTATGGCGAAAATTTCTGCCTGGAAGATAGAGGTGTATCTACCCTAATTCATGCTAAGTTTGAATTTGGGGCGTTCACCGTAAAATCCAAAGCCAACGTTGAGGCGCATTTTAGACCCATCGGTACACCATATGAGGCTACCGACCTCACAGATAACGTGGCCATTCAGCCAGTCTTCTCTGGGGGGTTCCACTATATACTTTTTATCAAAAGTGTGTAGTGGACGCATGATATCTGAGAACATGCATAAGACCGGTGATTCCTTAATTCAGTCGAGCATGGATCTCAATCTGTAGGAGAGCAAGCTCAGACCGCCCTGGGCGTTAATTCTATACAAACTAGCCCTCGCCTCCTTGTCTAGATAGAGATCAAGGGGCGTTAGGAATAGAAGTGCATTAAGAGCCGCTCCAGGCGATGATCACATAGCTCCAGTTGCCATTAAGCAGGAAGTCCTTTGTAGACTATTTAGTCTGTCCGCAGTAGTCTTTTGGTTGGTCTTGTTACACCCGACAATAGAGGCGTAGGTGAGAATCGGCCTCACTATGCTGCTGTACAGCCATAGGACCATACTGGGACGCAAGCACCAGTTGTTCCCGACCAAACGACTGCACGTACCTAAAGCAATTTTTGCCTTATGGCATACGTTGCTAAGGTGAGAGTTCCACGTTAGTTTATGGTCGATTGTTACGCCCAAGTACTTAACTTACTTTATGTACGTACGTCTAAAGGACTTTGGTAAAGCGTAGTCCTTTCTACCAGCCTTAGATATAAATAGAACTTTGACAATTGTCCATTGTTCTGGAATATATCCCCAGGCAAAACTTGCTCTAAAGATTTTCACCGGATAGGGAAGAAGGATGTCAATACCCATCTGCAGTTGGATGGGAATTATTCCATCCTCCCTGCTTGTTTTAAATGGTATAAAGGAGTCAACAGCCCACTGCACCAGGTTTGGTCTTATAACCTTTGCAGCCCTACACCAGTCCTCATTATAAGGCCTTCGTAGGGCTCTGAAAGAATTTAAGGCTGAGGTCTTGTGACCCTTGTGACACTGAGAAATGGGTTGACGCTAGTAACTGCAATGTTTCTGTTTCACTATTAGTGAAGTTACCATCAGGCTTTTTAAGAAGCCCGATCTGATAAGGTTTTGAGCCACTTTTACAGTAAGAAAATATTATAAAACACGTTCGGGCTCCATGAATTTAGCTACTTGTGCTCCCACTTGTTACCCGATCATCTACCTACAAAATAAAATCCACCGCTTCCACGTATTTTATATGTCGGAAAGTACAACACGATAAGCCAATTGTGTGAGAAATAACAGGATAGCATTAATTATTAAAAATGGTAAGTGTGAGAACTGATGTTCAACTTGCTCTCTTGCTTGCGCAATTTATCATTATCAATAATAGGACAGCGTAACGCACTATACATTCAGCATAGAGTAATTACAGTTTGACCATACCGCAATACGTCCCCATCACAATTATAAATCAGTGCAATGTGAAGGACACAACTACATGATAACACCAAATTATGCAAACCAACAGCAACTTTACCCATCTCAACGTAACACAGCACAGCCTCTCGGCAACACCATCCTCCTTGTCTGCACCAGAAGAATCACCACAATGGACAGAACAACGACTATCTTAGCACGCGTAGAATGACTTCACTCGTGAAACGACTCAAGCGGAATCTCTCGCGCTCTGTCCCTACACTGAACTTTATACTGCACAAACGAGTGGGAGGGTTTCTCGAAATACCCTCAATTTCAACTAGTCACTAGATCCAACCGGCATTTTATAGATGCGCCTACATATATTTAACATATTTTTTACATCTCTATTTAATAAATGTATTCGTCGCGCAATAATAATGCTCCAACGACTTACCATACTTTTTTTTTTGTTTTTATTCTTAGAAAAAAGGGCTTTGTCGCTGAAGCGATTATGACGCTCTGGTACAAGAAAATTCTTAAATAGGATATATACTAACAACTATATAAACTTATTAATTACTTAATCTCTTATTTACTAACACAAAGCTTTTTGGCGTCTTCTGATAACGGGTCTGATAAAATGATATTAATACTGCCAATCAATGATAAATGTATATTACAATTTTTTCTTTCTCCAGAGTTCTGGACACATTCTATCAATATGTGATAAACATCATCGATAATGTTGCAAGTTGAACAGTTTGGTGAGGTAGTTTTTCGCATCAAGTATGAAAATTTATTGCATGGAATGTGCCCAGATCTGAGTCTTAATGCTGTTACAGTGTCGCGTCTACACAATATTCGGTTATCTACGAGTATCCAGGTTGAGCGCATTGGAAACGGCTGGATCGTACGGTACCATATACCCTTCTCTTTTGCTCTTATATCAAAATATTCCTTCCAAAGGTCATAACAATTTTTTTTAATAACAGTATATAATTTTGAAATGAAGGGGTAATATTAATATCAGTGCCTTCCGAAATAGCTTGTTTGGCCAAAATATCAGCTTTTTCATTACCCTCTAAGCCAATGTGTGAAGGTATCCATTGTAAATGTACTATTATGGAGTCAGCCTGCAACTTAACTAGAAGCTTCAAAATCGCATATGCTACTGGTAAGCCTCGAAAAACCGAAGTACACCGAGCAAGGTGTTGAAGCGCACTCCTTGAATCTGTTAAAATAACCACATTGTTATAGTTACTGTATATAGGATAAAGCTTCATAGATTGCTGCAAGTTCAACTTCCATAATAGAAATATTAGTATTAATTTTTAACTTTATTGCCATATCATTTAATATATCGTAAAATGAAGCCCCGTTTCCGAAATTATCTTTCGAACCATCTGTAAATATCCTCAGATAATTCGGGTAATGTTCGTTTAGGTAATTAATACACATGTTTTTTATGGTCAATACATGGTACTGATGTTTAGGGTTTAGAACTCCGTCTATATTTGGTCTTAAAATATCTGAAAGGTTTAAACTAGTGATCCACTGATCCAGAGAAAACATACCTAACTGTGAGCTTGAGTATATAAAAAGTGATTTGAAGTTGTCATGGATTATTGTTAATAATGGTTTTTTCTTATTAATCCAATACCTGTTTTGAATGGTATCGGTTAGGTTAGAGATAAGATTAATGGAAGAGTTATTTAACACGGATTTATTTTTTAACCAGAATTTGCCTGCAAGGTAGCGTCTTCTTAAATGTAATGGGCATAAGCTGAGATCGCTTTCCATTACGTGAATAGGGGTGCTTTTTATATAACCTCCTATAGTTCTCATTGACTGATTTTGAATCTCTTCTAACTTAATTAAATTAGTGTTACTACTGTTATCATACAAAGAGCTCGCATAATCTAACCGACTTCTTATAATACTAATATAGAGGTTCCGTAAATGTTTAGGGTGGACACCCCAGCCCGAACCTGATAAAACTTTAAATACATTTAAAAATTTTAATACTTTTTCAGATGTTTCCTTTATATGTTTATTCCACCGCAGTGATCGATCCAGCCACATTCCAAGGTATTTTACGCTATCTACTACTTCCAAAGCAACATCTTTAATTTTTAGACTAATGTTATGTTGTCGACGCCTTCTTGAAAAGGTGTATATTTTACTTTTTAACGGTGAGATATTCAAATTTATAGTTAAAAATAAATTATTTAAAATGTCTAATGCCAATTGCAGTTGATTTTCCGCCTCTTTCAAGTTTTTAGAAGTTATAAATATGACATAATCATCAGCATACTGGGAGATATTAAGATGTGTTTTGGAAATTATAGACTTACATATATCTATTGTAGCTATGTTAAACAATAGCGGAGAAAGTGGATCTCCTTGTGCTAGACCGCGACCTGTAATTCTAGTTATTTTATAATCTATCCCTTCAATTATTAAAAATCTTTGGCTTAAATAAGTCCAGAGATAGTTGCAAAATTTTGCGCCAACATTAAGGCGATCGAGGGTCGATAAAAGATAATTTATGTCTACATTATTATATGCGTTTTCTAGGTCTAAAAAGCATGCTACTGTAAAAAAGATTTTTTGTAAAACCTATTTGAATGCTTGTAACTAAATCGGTTAAATTATCGTGACAGGAACGTGATTTTCTGAATCCTTTAGTTTCCTCAGAAAGTAGTTTTTTGTTTTCAATATACCACTCTATACGGTTATTGATAATGGCATGAAATACTTTACATAAGCATGAAATAAGAGAAATAGGTCTAAGAGATGAAGTACAACTAGTGTTCCTACCCGACTTAGGTATAGGTATAATGCGAACCTGTCGCCATTGGTATGGAGCAAAGCTTTGTGTAAAAAATATATTATAAAGATTGAGTAAAACGTTTTGGCCCACTATAGGTAAATTAAGTAACATTGAATAAGAGATATCATCTGTGCCCGGGCACGTGTCTTTAGATTTTAAACATTTATAAAGCTCCGATCTAGATATTTCGGTTTCTAATTTAGGATTTTGAGATGTGTAACCTGGGTAGGGTTGACTTACATAGTCAGGGGTTAAGTTGCACAGTAATGACTCGGCAATACTTTTTTCAATTTGTGGTTTAGCTGATCTATAACCTTTTAACCACTGCATTTTTCTCCACATTTCAGAAGCTGAAGATATTTCATTCAAGGACGTACAAAATTCCCACCATCCTTTACTTTTAGCGTTTCTAATTAGTTTTTGAGCCTTGCGAGTTTTTTCCTGCAATCTATTTAAATTAGCCGGTGTGGGATTCTGTCTAAATGTTTTAAGTGCTAGCCGTCTCTCTGCAACAGCGTGAGACAGATCAGGAGTCCAATATGGCTTAGGAATAAAATTAGCCTTGCGATTTAGGCATATTTTAATAAATGGAATACTTGCTTCTGCGGCTTTGAACAACAAAGTGATAAAATCATCATAGGCTTCTTGTGGATTACTTGAAATTTCGAAATGAGCGCACTCTTCTTCTATTACCTGACGATACTTCACCCAGTCAGCTTTTTTTAAAGTTTCGTCTTTTATGAATAATAGGAGAATGATTCATAGATGATGAAATCTTAATTATTAGGTGGTCACTACCTAAACACTCGTTTGTAACATTCCAATTAAACTTAAAAGCAATATCAGATGATATAAATGTAATGTCGGGAGCTGACTGTTGTAAGATACCGCCAACTAATTTTAATCGCGTAGGCCTGCCATCGTTTATAGAAACAAAATTATGGTCTTCTAATGAGTCCAGAATTTGCGTGCCCCTAGAATCGGTTTTATTCGACCAATTAGGGTGATGTCCATTAAAATCTCCAAGTATTAGAGTCTTTTTATCAGAAAACGAAAATATTGAATCCCAATCACTACATAAAGTTCGAGCACTAGGCGAGCAATATAGATAAATTATATGTTCAACAATTTCACAATTAGAAATTTTAACGGATATCACCTCAATAACCTCGTTGACACTTCGCAGTGGAAGCAACTGAGCCGAGAGAGATTTGTGTACTATTAAAGCCACTCCACCATAAGAGTCCGCCCTATCAAGTCTAAATACGTTATATTCTCTAAATTTAAGTGTTATATCAGGATTCAACCATGTTTCCGAGAGCGCGGCGATATGAATTTTCTCCTGACACAAGAGTTGTTCAAATTCCGCACACTTTGATTTAATACTTTGAGCATTCCATTGCAAAATGTTAAGGCTGTCTTTACCTATTATTACCGAGTAAATTTTGTATAAAAGACAAGTTCGAGATATTTTTAAATATCCATGTGATTATCCATTCAAAAAATAAGTGCACTACATTCTCGATTCTACTTTTTAAAGGCTCATTACTCTCATTAGAGATAAAACTTTTAAGTTGGCTTAATAAATTAAAGAAAGGAATATCAGATTGTACATAACGATTCTTTTTTTTTTGTTTTGTTTAGACACTGGTTGATCACATACACTACTTTCAGACTCTGTCGACATATTGCCGTCATGTATATACTCTTCTAAATTAGGTTCTTGAATTCTCTTCTTAATCTTCTTAGTTGTGTCATTTCGAACATATTTTTGTCCCCGACTGTCCAGTTTGTTCTTGTTAATGGGGCTCGATGACACGGCCTGTGCGTAAGTAACTGGTATAGAATTCTCCTGAACCGGCAAAATAGAGCTAAAAAACTTATTTGTGGTTCCTGGGATAGGTTCCGGCAATTGAGGCATCTTATTTAAATTACCTAAACGGGGCATTGGCGATTGAGTTGGCACATAAGTAGGTGTTTCGGGCGGTACATACATTGCCATAGCCTTCCTGTATGAAACATTAAATTCAGCCATTATTTCCCGTAACTTCTTCTCCTTTATATATTTTGGACACTGACGATTCAATGCCATGTGATTTTTCGTACAATTAATACACTTAAATATTGTTGTTTCGCAATTTTCATGCTTACCTCCACATTTGGGGCAGTATATACGTTTTGAAGGACACATTCTAAGGGTGTGCCCAAAGCGCAAGCATCTCGAACACTGAGTAACAGGAAATAGGTATGGCTCCACCTTAACTTGCATGTCATATATGCACAGATACGATGGTAACGTAGACCCTATGAAACCAACTCGAACCGATTCACTTTCAGTCCAGCCAGATTCTCCATCCTCCTGCTTTCTGCGTTTGAGTCGTTTCACGTTGGCCACCTCAATTGAGCAAGAAATAGATTCTAACAGTTCTTTTTCTGATAGATCTAATTCGATGTTCTTAATTACACCATAAGAGAGTCCTACTTCAAATGGTCGCTGAAACCTCCAGCCCAATTCCACAAGATGATTACACTGTATCAATAAATCAGCATCTTTTTCTCCGTATAGTTCTACAATTATTTTGTATGAATTGATATATTTTACTCGCACAATGTTTGTTCGATTTGAAGGTCCGAAGGCGGAGTATTCCTACCTCTTTTGCCCAATATTTGGCTAGATTAGTAGTTTATATGCTGTTCCAAAAGATCAGACATTTCCTCTAGTATTGGTTCTTCCCCCGCTGACTCAGTAGAAAGACGATCAGCCTCCATTATTGTTCAACTGAACGGCCGGCCCCGCTTGGCCAAGCCGTAAACGCAGGTAACAAATTTCTAAGCCGATAATAACCGTGCGCGCAACGATACACGTACGAACGGCTCGAGCGCCACTTCGCCACTGTTACCATACTTGACACGTTTGCTTAACTTATCCGTTAAAAGTTCAGGATAATCTTCAGGATAAGGAAATTATTGAAGCAGTTTATTTTTCATTAACTCCATGAGAGCAACAGCGGTGATAGGCTTTGGTAGAAGATCTTAGCGACTTAGTCATGGATTCGACCCCACACAGAGTGATACAAGTACGTGCATAAATGCTATTGCTGACTTTGCATCCTGTGTGTGGCCTATATCGCGTCACTTGAGTAAGCGAAGGTAATAACGTCTGCATGAAAGATGTATTAGAATAAGTTTGTCATTGTTGAAGTACATGAGCTTCTGTACGGACATCTCTTAGTTTTATTTTAGTTTTTAAAAAACGCCTCCACCGCTCCCGTTAACTTGACTGGCGCAGCCGGTAGGATCGCTATTTGCTTGCGCCGTCCGCGAAATAAATTCGTATAAAATCGTTTACCGCGTTCGTGCCGCGAGGCGATCCTGCGAACCAATATAAATTTGTCAAGTGGAGAGCAGCTGAAGATGACGAAGGCCGGCTGGTGAGTCCAAATTTTCACCTTCCTTTCCTTGCCATATTATATAGTTTTGTTATTTTGCAATTAGACCTCTTGCGATATAACGTTATCTTGTTTTACATAAAAATCTGTGAAACTTATATTTAAGAATATTTAAACTTAATAACTAACTGCATAAAGAAATACTACGAATAAGATAAGTAAGCGCGTCCATGCAATAACGACGCGATAAGAGCTTGCACTGTGGGAACAAAGCGATTATAAGTATTACAAATTATAATTGTAGTATGTTCGTTGATTAAATTTTTATTGAGGACTTATTTATTTCATATTGTGTATTTTACTTATTAATTATTTTACTCTTACTTTGACTGTGTTTTTGATTGTGAATTTGAATTCTTATATTAATTGTATTATTTTATCGCCGTATTTTATAAAATAAAGTTGTACAAAATGGAAGATCAAGTACAAATTAAGATGATTCCTAATGAAATGCTCAAAATTGTACCGATATTTAGCGGTGATAAGCACTTATTCGCAAATATGAGTATATATTAAATAAATATTGGGGATCCGATGAACAAAATTTATACGTAATGTACGCGATAACAAGTAGACTCGTAGGCGACGCTGCAGCGCTCTTTGGCGAGCGTGAGGACATTAATACGTGGGAAGATTTTAGAGAACTGCTAATTCAACATTCTGGAGACCCTAGGAGTGAAGAATGTATTGCTATAGAACTTGAAGGTTTCCGTATCCGAAACAACGAGTCGTATTTAGATTTCTGTAATAGGATCCAATCCGTTCGTAGTGTTTTAATATCGAAAGTAAATAGATTAACCGATCCGAATGTAAAGAGTAGCAAAATTATTATATTTAATAACACATCTTTAAATGTCTTTTTGTATAATTTTCCAGAAAATATGGTGCGAATTGTTCGCTTAAAAGCACCCAGTACACTAGAAGAGGCTTTAAGCGTGGTCATGGAAGAAGTCAACTTCCATGAGCAGTATACCTTGCGTAATAAAATGTATAGTAATCCTAGTATTAAACCAACGCCATCCAGTTTACCAAATAATAACCCTAAGTTAAAATTCGGTACAAATAATTTTAATTCAATGGCACCAATGGGCTGTAAACCCGAATTAACCCCTAACAAATTTAACTTTGGACTTCCGCAGGTTGTCACAATCAAAATTACCTCAATTTAATAATATTCAACAAAATTTTGGATACCGCCCACAACAATTTGGCTTCCGCCCGCAACAATTTGGTATAAGCCCGCAACAGTTTAATATGCGTCCCCAACAGTTCGGAATGCAACCACAAACATTTAATAAACCTCAACAATTCGGTATGCGCCCACAACAATTTGGTATGCGCCCACAACAATTTGGAAACCAACCACAAAACCTTTATAAGCCCCAAGAATTTGGTTACAAGCCTCAGTTAAATAAAAATCAATACACTGGGCCCAGTGACTTCACAATACGAACGGCACCACCCCTTAAAACAAATCAACACGGCTTTCAGTTAAATGAACTCGACCTTGATAATACGTATTACGATGATGCGTGCGGCGATGTGTACCCAATTTCTTATGATAACTGCTGCTATGAGGAGTACTCAAGCAGTGGCCTTAATGTCCCCGAGCTCGATTATTATTAAAATGAATATCCGACAATAATTCCTGAAGTAACACATGGCGTCCCAACCAATATGGACGACAAGGATTTTCAGGTCGAAGCCCCGGAACCCACGAAAAAATAGAGTTAAATTGTAGTACTAATTTGAGATTGCCGTTTATTTATATACCGGAAATCGACTCCAAATTTATGATTGATACGGATGGTACGCGATCATTCATTAGTCCATCAAAAGCTTATAAGTACTTTCCAGAGTACATAAGTCACGAACCGTTCGAAGTCATTAGCAAACATGCATCGAGCAGACATGATCAAGTTATTCAAATCCCGTCTTTACCAATTTTCAACTGTAACTATATTCATAAACTATACATTTACAATGTCGACTCTAGGTACGATGGCTTAATTGGGAATGATATACTTTGCAATCTAGAAGCAGTAATAGATTTAAAAAACGAGATTCTTAAAACTAAAACTACCATAATACCTATAACACATAGTAAATCTTCTTACGTTTTGGAGTTATCTCCCCGTTCCGAGCAGAGAGTCAAACTCCCAACAAATTTATATTCAGGTAATGCTGTAATCGATTATAAAGAATTCTGTAAGGGTGTGCGAATGCCTAGTGCGTTAGTGAGATGTAAGGATGGTTATACGACTGCAGTAATCCAGAATACCTTAGATATACCGATAAAATTAACTATTAAAAGACCATTGAATGTAGAAGCATATGAAGAGAGTAAAGCGACTAGATGTGTAGTTAACCATATTATAGACATATCAGATATTGAAGTAGATAAAATATTAGAGCAAAATTTAGAGAAATAACGCTTAGACCACATGTCGGAAGAAGAACAAAATTCAATATACCACTTATGTAGAGAATATAAAGATATTTTTTATAGCGATCAAATACCTTTATCTTTTGCTAATTAAGTCAAACACTATATTAGAACAAAAAACGAAGACCCTTCTATATCAAACCCTATAAGCAACCCCCCGCTCAAACACATGAAATTAAAAATCAGGTACAGAAACTATTAAATAATAATGTGATTCAGGAATCCTTTTCCCCTTAGTCAGTCCCAGTCCATTTAGTTCCCAAAAAGAGAGACGCATCTGGTGAAATGAAGTATAGGATGGTTATCGATTACAGACGTCTAAACATAACTGTGGACGATAAGTACCCTTTACCCAATATCACTGACATTTTTGACAAACTGGGTAAAAGTACTTACTTTTCAACCTTGGACTTAGGACTAGTGGATACCACCAAATTGAGATCAACGAATCAGATAGACAAAAACGGCATTCAGCACAGAGAACGGACACTATGAATTCCTTCGAATGCCCTTGGCTTGAAGACAGCTCCAGCCACCTTCCAAAGAGCCATGGATAATATCCTAAGAGGCTTACAAGGAATTCATTGCCTTGTCTATCTTGATGACATAATTATTTTCTCGAGTAGCCTCCAGGAGCATTTACAAAAATTAAGGACAGTCTTTGACAGATTGAGATCGACTAATTTAAAAATACAACTTGACAAATCAGAATTCTTGAGAAAAGAAGTGATATACTTAGGGCACGTTATTACTAAAGACGGACTTAAACCAAACGATGATAAGATTCAGGCTGTATTAAGCTACCCGTTACCAAGGACGACTACCGAGATCAAGAGTTTCCTAGGATTGATTGGCTATTACAGACGCTTTGTAAAAGACTTCGCCAAAATCACTCAGCCCCTTACAGCATGCCTAAAGAAAAGAAATAAAATAGTAATAGATCAAAAATATATTGATGCGTTTCAGAAGTGAAAGGAGCTTCTGACTAATGCACCTTTACTCCAATACCCAGACCCAGACAAACCTTATGTTTTAACTACAGATGCTTCTACTGTTGCGTTACCATGATGTCATAACAGCTTGGCATTATTACTACGAACAGCTACTATCCCTACCCCATCTAGCTGCCACACAACTTCCTGGATTGGAAGTGAATGCAGGACTTATACCTCCAATACATCCTGATGAGGTAAAGAAAGCCCTACACAAAATATCCAACAAGAAAGCCATTGGACCTGACGGAATACCAGTGGAAGCTTGGAAATGCTTAGGCCCACGCGGACTCGTACTGCAAACCGATTTCTTTAACTGTATGTTGTTCTCTTCAAAAATGCCAAAGGCGTGGAGATTGAGCACTATAGTTCCCATCTACAAGGGAAAAAGTAGTAAGTACGAGTGCAACAACTACCGCGGAATCAAGCTCCTCAGTCACACCGTGAAGCTCTATGAGAGGGTAATTGACAGCCGCATAAGATCCGAGTGCGAGCTGTCTAAGAACCTCTATGGCTTCGTACCTGGATTGTCTACCACGGATCCGATGTTTGCTCTTAACACGATTGTCGAGGAGTATCGCGCGAAAAACCGACCATTATATGTCGCATTTTTGGACATGGAAAAGGCGTTTGATCGTGTCCCAAGGGATACGATTTGGTGGAGCCTTCGTAAGAAAAATGTCCCCGAACACTACGTTAACATCATTGTCGACATGTACAGAGATGCGAGGTCAATGGTTCGGACGGTGGTGGGTGAGACCAAGTCGATAGCGGTCGCAGAAGGAGTGCACCAAGGTTCTGTATTGAGCCCTTTTCTGTTTTGTTTGGTTCTGGACTCACTCACTGAAGCGGCACAGAATTCAGCAACGTGGACATTTATATACGCTGACGACGTAGCCATCTGCACAGACAGCCGCGCTCACTTTCAAGAGGCACTCGTGTCGTGGAAACATCAGTTATAGACCGGTGGCCTTGTGCTGAGTGTGGCAAAGACTCAGTTCATGTCCTTCAACGACCCAGATACAAACAACAGTCCGATTTCCATCGATGGACAATTGGTCAAATCGTGTGATCAATACAAGTATCTGGGTAGTATGATGAGCGGTTCTGGGGACTTGGAAATTAACATTCAGCACCGAATAGCCGCAGCGTGGCTAAAGTGGCGAGAAGTGACTGGTGTCACGTGCGATAGGAGAATGCCGGTCAAACTTAAAGGTTTAATCTATAAGACCATCATCAGACCAGTCCTATTGTATGGCAGTGAAACATGGGCCGTAACTCGAAAGAATGTGAAAGAATGTAAAAAGAATGTGGCACTACAACTTTCCATCCCAGGTCGAAGATCCAGGGGCAGACCCAAAACACGATGGAAAGATGTAGTGGTAAAGGACATGAGAGAGTGCGAAGTCTCCGAAAATGAAGTCGAGGATAGAGCGAAGTAGAGGCGTAAGACAAGAAAGGCTGACCCCACCAACATGTGGGACACATAGCCAGGAAGAGAGAGAGCTTCTACTGTTGCTTTAGGTGCGGTCTTATCGCAGGGGACAATAGGATCCGATAAGCCCATTGTCTACGCCAGTAGAACTCTCAGCGACACTGAGACCAGATATAGTACAATAGAGCGTGAACTACTCGCCATAATATGGGCCGTAAAATATTTTAGACCATACCTTTACGGGCGTAAGTTCACCATATATACTGACCATAGACCACTAGTTTGGCTCTATTCACTTAATGAACTGAACAGTAAATTGACTCGTTGGCGTTTACGTCTTCAAGAGTACGACTTCGATATTGTATACAAAAACGGAAAACAAAATAGTAATGCTGATGCCCTCTCTCGGATAAAACTAAATGCCATAGACTCTGATGACTCACAATCATTGGAAGTAAACCTGGACCCTAAAGAACAAAAACTGCAAAAATATCTGACTGAATTAACTGACCATATTGTGGACTTAACGACTGAAAACAAGAACGACTCTAAGACAATAATTATAACTGACACGTCCGCCACTGTATCCGTCGACCAGTTAGAGAGTAACACGAAATATTCGTTACCACCTATATCTACTGATAGTAGTATAGTAACTGTACATTCTGGACAAGATCCAGAATCTAATGGTATTCCGATATTAAAGGAATGGGCATGACATAAAAATGAAGTACAAGTGAGAAATTGATCCAGGGATAAACAAAAGGTTCTCGAAGTTTTTGTCCTACTTAAGATGAAGATCTTATTAAAATTTCTTAAAAGAGTACATTAAGGCCAAGATTAAATATTTTATTTATATTTTATTTCGAAAACATTCAACATAGAAAAGAATTCTCTAAAATTATTATACAGCTATTTAAAAAGGGAATGGTAGAATTTATTGAATGTACAGAGCGTGTTATATATGTAGAAGATGAGGGAGAACAAAAAGAAATCATACTGCAAATCATGAGGGAAAGACGTGTCACAGAGGAATAAAGGAAACAATGAGTAGAATTAAAAGAAACTATTATTGGCAGCAGCCGTGTAGTGGCGGTTGAGAATATCCACTACCACATATCTTCCCGTGGGTGTATTAAGAGGCGACAGAGGGACACAGAAAGGAGATGGGCAGCAGCATATTCCTAATAACAACTACTACAATAAAAAAAACTATTACAATAAAAAACTGCGGTTGCCAACCCGCTCGCCAAGCGTGGCAACTATGGCAAATATCCCCCCATGAGCAACGACGCAAATAAACGGCCCCCAGTCCCCGGCGGCCCCGCTATTCCTGGCTACGGTGGCGACCATGGTAACGGCGGGGCAGGGGGTGCTAAGAATCTCCGGTGGAGGTTCGGTTGCCACCTACGACGACTCGACCTGGCAACGTATAACGCACGCACCCTGAGGACTGACGAGAAGATAATGGAACTGGAAGAAGAGGTAGACAAGTTGCGCTGGCATATTATTGGATTATCTGAGGTCCGAAGAGAGGGATGGGACACGGTAATCCTCGAGCCCGGCAACTTGTTCTATCACCGGGAGGGCTACCATCTGTCCCAAGGAGGTGTCGGATTTATCGTCCACAAGTCTCTCGTCAACAACGTTGTAAAGATTGGGAGCGTGTCGACGAGGGTCGCGTACCTGATCCTCAGAATCACCAAACGGTATTCGCTGAAGGTCATACAGGTCTACGCACCAACCTCGGCACATCCCGATGAGGAGGTGGAGGAAATGTATGAGGATATTCCTAAAGCCATGCATTCCTTCAAAACCCACTACACGGTGTTGATGGGAGACTTCAACGCAAAACTAGGCACAAGAGAAGGCGGGAGCTGAAGTTAGGAAATTTTGGAGTAGGAAAGGTAGGGGCCAGCAGCTGGCTGGCTTTATGGAGAAAGAGGGACTCTTTATGATGAACTCTTTCTTCCAGAAGCGGCCCCACAGGAAGTGGACCTGGTCGAGCCCCGACGGTTCGACAAAAAATGAGATTGACTTCATTATGACGACCAGACGCCAACTGTTCAGTGATGTCTCAGTGATCGCAAGGGTGAAAACCGGCAGTGATCACCGAATGGTTAGAGGCACACTGAACCTAAACGTTAAGTTGGAGAGGTCTCGTCTAATGAAGTCAACGCTCCGTCCCCCTCGTGCTTAATCCAGAATCCCGAATCTTTTCAGCTCGAGTTACGTAACCGCTTTCAGTGCCTAGAAGATTGCAATGCAGTGGACGATATGAATGACAAGCTCGTGGAAACTGTCCATGCGGTCGGAGCTAAGTTCTGCAAGACCCGCCGCAGAAGAACACAAAAACTCTCCGATCACACTCTTAATCTCATGGCTGTTAGACGGGAGATGAGGCTGCAATCGTCAACAGATTTGACAGCATACAGGCAACTGAACAAACAGATCTCCAAATGCATGCGGCGAGACTTAAAGAAAGGGTAATAGTATAAATGGTTTATTCGCAACTTTAATACTGCTCGTATTAAAGAAGCGATCGAGTGGAACCAGGGCTCCAAAGTCTTTGCCAGAGATCTGTCTGCGAGAAAGAGCCAACTGTCAAAGCTGAAGACTGAGTGTGGCAGCATCGTTTCCGAGACACCTGAGATTTTGAGTGAGATTGAGAGGTTCTATGGGCAGCTGTACACATCATCGTTGGAGCCACACGCAAGTGTGAGTAACGATCCAAGAGCCAGTCTTACCCGACACTATTCCGATGATATCCCGGAAATCAGTCTGAGCGAGATTAGAATGGCTCTCCATCACCTTAAAAACGGCAGGGCCCCAGGCGAGGATGGAATTACAGCGGAGCTTCTGAAAGCGGGTGGAACACCGGTACTTGAAGTCCTTCAGAAGCTCTTCAATTCCGTCCTCCATGGTGGCACTACTCCGGAGGCGTGGAGCAGAAGTGCGGTGGTCTTGTTCTTTTAGAAAGGCGACAACGCTCTCTTGAAGAACTACAGACCGATTTCCCTTCTGAGCCGCGTCTACGTGCTGTTTTCGAGAGTCATTACGAATCGTCTCGCACGCAGACTCGACGACTTCCAGCCTCCCGAACAAGCCGGTCTCCGAAAAGGCTTCAGTACCATAGACCACATACATACCCTACGGCAGATTGTACAGAGGAACGAGGAGTACAATCTGCCACTTTGCCTGGCGTATGTGGACTATGAGAAAGCCTTTGATTCCGTCGAAATTTGGACGGTGCTACAGTCCCTTCAGCGGTGCCAAGTTGACTGTCGGTATATCGAAGTGCTGAAGTGTTTGTACAGTAGGGCTACGATGGCTATCCGAGTACAGAACCAGAGTTCGAGGCGTATCTAACTGCAGAGAGATGTAAGACAGGGTGACGTTATATCCCCGAAACTCTTCACCGCTGCGTTGGAAGACGTTTTCAAGCTACTAAGCTACTGGACTGGAAAGGATACGGTATTAACATCAATGGCGAGTACATCACTCATCTTCGATTTGCCGACGATATAGTCCTTATGGCAGAATCGCTGGAGGACCTTAGCACTATGCTCAATGACCTCAATGGTGTCTACCAACGGATAGGTCTTAAGATGAACATGGACAAACAAAGATCATGTTTAATGTCCATGTCACACCTATGCCGGTAGTTGTTGGGAGCACTATGCTCGAAGTTGTTGACGAGTACGTTTACCTGGGACAAATAGTCCGACTAGGTAAGTCCAACTTCGACCGAGAGGTCAATCGACGGATTCAACTCGGCTGGGCAGCGTTCGGGAAATTACGACACATCTTCACGTCAGGTATACCTCAATCTCTGAAAACTAAAGTTTACAACCAGTGCGTATTGCCAGTGATGACTTACGGATCAGAGACGTGGTCCTTCACCGCTGGCCGTATGAGGATGCTCAAGGTTGCTCAGCGAGCTATGGAGAGGGCTATGCTCGGAGTTTCTCTGCGTGATAGACTCAGAAATGAGGATATCCGCAGTAGAACCAGAGTGACCGACATAGCCCAACGGATTAGTAAGCTGAAGTGGCAATGGGCCGGCCATATAGCTCGAAGAACCGATAACCGATGGGGAAGAAAGGTTCTCGAGTGGCAACCTCGTACCGGTAGGCGTGGTGTAGGGCGACCCCCCACTAGATGGAGTGACGACCTGGTAAGACATGCAGGAAGTCGATGGATGCAGGTGGCTCAGGACCGTGCTTTGTGGCGTTACTTGGGGGAGGCCTATGTTCAGCAGTGGACTTGTGAAGGGCTGTAATGATGAAAATGATGATTATTGGCAGAACATGCAAGAGACGATTGCTGCAGTGCTTAATGTTTGTGATGCCTGTAGAAAAATGAAATATGAAAGAAAACCCATTAAGCCATTACTTCAATTAACTCAAACCCAAAACGCCCCCTTCCAAGAAGTTTTCATGGACATTTTTTTCAATTGAATCCGT